CCCTCCTTTCTCCTTCTACTTGGTTTCCTCCTCTCTCGTTTTTCCCCCTGCAGTTAATATTAATTGCACATATCTTCTATGCCTGCATTGTGTTGGAGCTGCACACATAGTACATTTACCCCCCTACCCCCCCCCCCCCCCCGCCCCCAGTATAAAATCTATGTTTATAATTGCAGCACAGGCTGGGGTTGTAGCTCAGTGGCAGGCTGCTTGCCTAGCATGTGTGAGGCACTGAGTTTGATTCTCAGCATTGTGTATCAATAAATAAAATAAAGGTCCATTGACAACTAAAAAATGTTTAAAAAAAAATAATTGCAGCCCATTCATGGTTAGTGAAAAGAGTCAGGAAGACCCATGCATGGAGAGATTCTTCCAGTAGCATTATTATTATTATTTTTGGTGGAGTGGGCTGGCCCTTCCCTGCTCCCTTCTCCAGACATGATACTAGTGACATACCATCAGTCATCCTTGGCCTGGTCACTCTCAAGTCATTTGTTTTGTCCCTATATACCCCCTTAGAACAGTCTGATTGCCTCTAGAACATTCATCCATAACATGTGGGCTTTCATATGAACACAGAACTTCTATCAGAAGGATAAAAAGTAGAAATGAATCATGTGAAGACAGGAAGAGAGAGAAGGCTCTAAGGCTGAGGGTATTAAAGAGGAAAAAGTGGGCTGACTTTTATTTTCCAGAAGACCACGCATCTGAGCTACTTTGTCCATACCCAGCAACACACTTTGTTAGTTCCTATTTCTCATATAACCAAGTTCTTCAAAGTTCTGCTTTCACTTTCCCTCCATGGAAGAAACAGGCACAGTGTGAGGGGGTTCTTTATAATTTAATTCCTCACTAATCAATTATTTTGAATTGATGCTACAGAAATGGTGGTGGGCAGTATACAGTTTCCTATGTTTCTGATTTTGCTTGGAGTTAAATTTGATGATTGTTTATGTTATAATATTAGACTTAATGGCATGTGAGATTGCTGTGCACACACACAAAAAAATCAAAAACCAAACATCTTCATTGTCTGAATGTCTTTATAAAAAAACATATATAAGCAGACCTCCAGACCTCCTGAGCAATGAGTCAAATAGGCAAATCTAAGACGTGAACCCATGGTCTTGTGCGTGCAAAGCAAGCACTCCACAACAAAGTCACATCCCCAGCCCCCACCCGCCATTTCCTAAGGTGCCAAGCACAGCAGTTGCTGGTCACAGTGGTACCATGAGTACAAGTGATTCCAAGTCAGGAGACTTGGATTCAAGTATTCCTTTTTTTTTTTTTTCTTAGCTCTTTGACCTTGAGCAAGTCAGTCAACTTCTTTTTTTAAAAAATATTTTTTATTTTTTTTAGTTGTAGGATGCAATACCTTTATTTTATTTATTTATTTTAGTGTGGTGCTGAGGCTAGAACCCAGGGCCTCTCACATGCTAGGCGAGCGCTCTACCGCTGAGCCACAGCCCCAGCCCCCCAGTCAACTTCTTTGAACACCAATTTCTTCATTCATTAAGGGGTCAGTATTCCTCAGGTGTTGTGAGGATTATAGGAGATAATGTCAATGGAATTGCTTTTTAATCTATAGTGTACTATACTGTTGTAGAAGGAGTTTATATTCACTGGATTTATGACCTATCCACAAACCCAAGGAACATTCCTATGAAACACTTTTCCCAATAACTACAAGGATTCTGGCCACTCATATTTTTAGCACTAAGAGAAGCCATCCAAAACAAAAGTCTCATAATTTCAATATGTATATCACAATATATGAAAAATTTGGGTCTCTAATAGGCTCTTAGGGAGCAACCCCAAGTGCTGGGATGTTGGATGTTTCTATCAGATACCGAGGGGCTACTTTACTGGTGGCAATGCTCACCAACCCCTCTCAAATGACTCCTGTTCATTCTCTTTGATCTATTTCTTTAAATCAAATCAAAGAAATGGGTAGATGTTGATCCCAAAACCTGTATCTGCAGCCTATGCCTCTCTTGGCGCCACAAACTAACACTCCCAATTGCCCATGGGACAGCTCCTCCTTGGAAGCTCCACGGATACTGAAAATTCAACATGTTCAAAACCAAACTCATCTCTAATGTCTTCTTCCCAATTTTCTCCAGTTCCTTTCAGATATTTCACATCTGTCTCCTTTCTTCTTACTCATTGCCATTGCTTTGGTTTAGGTCCTATCATATCTTCCAAGAACAACTGTAGTGGCTTCCTAATTTTTTTTCCTGCTTCTTGTCTTTCTTCCTTGTAGGCCATGGTTCATACCAGCTGCTCTAAAGGCAGAACTTGAAAGATGCTACTTTGATAAAATCAGCCTCTCGTCGCTCTTAGAAAATCTAAAATGGTTTCCTAAACTTAAGGTTCTCTGAGATGGAGCTCCTAATTGCCTCTCCATCCTCACCTCCTATCCCTTCCCACCCTATATGTCAGTATTTCCAACCAGACCAAACTACTTGCAGTCACAATGTGATTTGTTCTCTTGCACATTTTTTCTGCCTTTAACATATGCTGTCTCCATTGTCTGGAAAACCCATCTCTTCCTCATCTACTTGGCCAGCTTCTGCTTATTCTTCAAGTCTGGTTTTAAAAAGTCTCACCTCTTCTTTGAAGCTTTTCTGGGCTCATCCAGACAGAATTGGTTAATTCCTTTAGTAATCTGTACCTGTCTTTTGCTTTATTGTATGGCGAATATTCACATGTCTTTCTCTCACACTAGACTGTTATTTTCTTAGGCAATTTATAACTCATCTTTGTGTGTCCTCTTAGAACAGTGGAAACAGGATAGACTCTCAGAAGATGTCTGTTGAACAAATAAATTGATTAGTGATTTTTATCACTCCCACTTTTTTTGTACTGGGGATTGAACACAGGGGCCCCTTACCACTGAGCCACATCCCAGGCCCTTTTTTGTTTTGAGACAGAGTCTAAGTTGCTTAGGGCTTCACTAAGTTGCTGAGACTGTCCGTGAACTTATGATCATCTTGCCTCAGCTCCCTGAGTTGCTGGGTAATCAGGTGAATACCACCTTGCCCAGCTTGCATTCATTTAAAAAAAAAACTTTTTTAAAGTTATTGATGGACCTTTATTTTATTCATTTATTTATATGTGTTGCCGAATATTGAACCCAGTGCCTTACACATGTGAGGCAAATGCTCTATCACTGAGCCACAACCCCATCCCTCACACTTATCCTTACAGTAGCAGAGAGCATGATTAAAGTCAGGTCAATATGTTAGGAGGACATCTAGAACTGCAATGTCTAATAAAAAAGCCACTAGCCACTTGGTTGAGTACTTGAAATGTGGCTAGTCTGAACTGAGATGTGCTGTGTCAAATACACCAAGGAGTTCAAAGACATAGAATGAAAAAAATCTCATTAATCTCAATATATTTCATATTGATGACTTGTTGAAATGATCTTTTTGGATACATTGAGCAAAATAAAATATATTACTAAAATGGAATTCCATCTGATTCTTTTTATCTTTTTAATGTGGCTATTAGAGAATTTAAAGTATACATGGGGTTCACAGTTATGGCGTATATTTTCATTAGACAATGATGATCTAAAAAGATCATTCACTGAGGGTGATGTCCAGGTTACAGGTAAGGATATCTCTTGAAGAAAATGTGGATATGTCACAGTTTGGGCCAAGATTTTATCATTATGTGCTCAGAGTCGGAGAAGACTTTAAAAGGAGCTAAGTCGGGGGATGAGGAGAGCTGGCTTTTGAAAAGTTGAATAGCCCTGGAGTAGGTCATAACCTCTTTGTGACTCATTTTCCTCATGTCTAAAAAGAGCCAATTGGCCTCTTGAGTTCTCTATCAATTTTAAGGACATAAGACCTGCCATTATATCCTTCCATGGCTGAGATGTTCTCCCTCTAAAACTTGGTTCTTAACCCTTCCCCAGCCTCGGGTCAATCCAGGGTTAGCCCCTGGAGGCTTTCTGACCTACCACCATCTGCAGAAAGCAGTCAGTCAGAACAAAAGTATTCATTATTCTCCTTAATCAGTATATGTACTGATTAAGTACATATACTGATATACAGTATATGACAATATTCTGAGGAGAGACGTTGTCTTCCAGTCTTTATACCATGCAGGGCCTAGTGAAGGCTAGTTGGTCCTAACCTGGCTTCCAGGGACACTTACTAGATATATGCTGATCTAGTCTCTTACATTTTTTACAGGGTCAATTTTAATTAAAAAAAAAAAAAGGTGGTGGTGGGCGGGGGCAGGGGATTGCAGGAGAAGGGAGCACGCTGAGCAGTGCAGGGTAAGCACTTTACACATTTAACTCCGTTATTCCAAAAATCAAACCATGGAGCAGGTTATCGACATTTCACAGATAGGAAAAAGACACAGAGAGGTTAAGTAACTTGATAAAGGTCAACAGCTGATGAGTGGGCAGCCAGGATTTAAAGCAGGGATTCCACTCTGCACAGGAGCTGTGCTTGTGGCCGGCTGAAAGCTGTCGGGCAGAGTAGTTCCACGATTCTAGAGTATTTGCACCTCCGGGTCTCTGGGCCGTGGGCTTCCCCGTGGACTATCTCGCGGGCCCTGCCCTCTCTGACACCCTGGGGCCTGGCTCCACCCACCGCTGGCCCCCAGCTCAGTCCAGCGTCTCTCCAACTCGTAGATGACCAGCTCCCGCTGTGCACAGGGCTGGGGAAAGCGCCCCTAGCCCGGTCCGCTGCCTTCTCGCAGAGTGAGTGGCCCCACCAGGGTCACCTGTCCCCGGCGGCGGGTGTCGCTGCCCTCAACGCGGTCCCACTAGCCGCTGAGCCCTGGCAGGAGCATAGCGAAGACGCCTCCCCAGACTGCGCCGCAGCCCAGCACATCCCGGCCGGCGCTTCTGGGCGCCGGGTACACTGCAGGTCCGCGGAGGGGACCGCTGAGGGTGCGGTGCGGCAGGGCGCGGCGCCTGGCGCGGGGCGGGCGTCTACAAGGGCCGACGCCGAGGGGCGCGGGCGCCGCCGGAAGCCGGGGCGGGGCGCCTGGAGGGATGCGGTGAAGGGCGAGCGGCTCGGCGGCGGCGATGAGTGCCTCTGCGGCCACCGGGGTGTTCGTGCTGTCCCTCTCAGCCATCCCGGTCACCTACATCTTCAACCACCTGGCGGCCCACCAGGAGTAAGTGAGCGGACGCGGCTGGGGGCGCGTCGGGGGGCGGCGAGAGTCAGGTACTTACGCGGGAGACTCGGCAACTTTTCGGATGGGTCTTGGACCACAGGCTGCTGGGCAGAGTTGCGCCCGCCCCAGGGGTTCTGCCCTCCGGAGTAGAGCGGGAGAAACCCCGCACTGGCGGGGCCCTTGCCCAGACCTGTGCAATTAGGGACCAAGTGCTGGGCGCCCGCTCCGTGTCACACCGTGCTGGGGTTATAGAGGTCAGTTGGGCAATTCTCCTGCCCTTAAGGAGCTCAGGGCCAGTGGTCAGCAGAACAAACACGGAAACTACGAGCTTGGCCATGGTATCTTGCGTGTGTCTTATTCCGTTCCCATTTCACAAAAATGTTTCCATGTAAGGACTTTCACATACTTACCATTTCTTAATTTTAGAAGCTGTTGTAAATGACTAGCAGAAATAGCCCTAGTTCTAGGACTGGCCTTGCCACTAATGGGGTAGCCTGGCCTCAGTGCTCTGGTCTGTCAAATGGACTAAATTTGCATCCTGTTGAGATCCGGTGAGAACTGTGAAGGGGCATTATGAATGGCAGATAAGATGGGGGCGGGGAGTAGAGGCAGGGCAGATCAATGCTAAGGATATGGGTGGGACTGAAGGAGGCAGCACAAGCTTTGGATCAAAGCTCTGCCTCCCACTTCTCTGAAGGGATTACTGACTAACCAACACCTTCCCCCATGGGCAGCTGAAGGCCTGGGAGGGCAATGGAAAGGAGCCAGCCTTCGTGCCTGATGGTTTTGGTTGCTGTGGGGAGGGGGGAGGAGGAAGTAACCTGCTCTATTTCTCACAGCAGTTGGTGCTAAGGAAATTGCATCAGTCTATACCCTGCGAACCCCCTCCAGACTTCCAGGTAGCAGACAAGTGTTTGCACACAGGGTAGTGACTTCTCTCTCGCTTCTGTGGGTACTGGTGGTGTCTGCCCTTGATTTGACCCAAGGCATCTTCTGGAAGAAGCAGCTCTGGGTTATGTGCCTCTCCATATAGTACACAGGGACCCTGTGCTTCTGAAATAGCCTATGGACAGTTCCAGTGCAGTGAATACCTGTGTGCTTTGTGCTGGGGACATAGCTATGAATAGGCAAGAAAAAGTTGGGTGGCATGTATTGAAAGAGACATCAACAAATACATAAACAGTAACATGTTATCATGACACTAAACTAGAATGGTTAAGAAGGGGGCTGCTGGTTAGGGAAGGCTTCTTGGAGAAGGTGACACTTTAGCTACAGCAAGATGTGGGGATAAATCCTTGCAGGCAGGGGAACAATGAGCAAAGTTGGGAAAGGAAGTGAATGGGTGTGGTGGAAATTCAGAGGGAGAGCTGCCTGCTGCAGAAGGATTGCATAGAAGTAAAGAGAGGATTTGAGGACAACCCTGAGGTTTGGGCCTCAGCCACAGGGAAAATGGAAATGGCACTTACTGAATACAGACTGAAACCACTGTGCATTATTGATCACATTGTTAAGTCCTACAGTGTTTTCAATAATAAGTTCCAACTATCCTTCTTTTCCTCTTGCAGGTTAAAATCCCATGGCCTTTGACCCCTGGCTCTTCTTTCTCCAATCCCTTTCTTCTATCTCCTTCCCCACAAGTTCAGGGCTAGTCTAGTGTTCATTCCCTCCTTTCAGTTCTCCTTGGGGCTGGCCGTCTATTACTGGACTGTGGCAAAGGCATCCTCCCCTCCCCCCAGCCCTCTGTATATCTCTGAGGCTCAGCCTTCACCTCCAGCTCACCTAGCTAGTGCTTCAGCCTCACCAGACTGTCTTTGCCCCTTGAACACCCTTATAACTTGCCCCTGCTCACGCTGTACCCTCTCTTTCCTCTCTATTGTTGAATGTTGAAGCACACCTGGGCTCTGTGGCCCAGAGTAAGATTCTGCTTCCTTTTGTAGTAGACCCTTCTTCCAAATGAAAGATTTTTCTCTGCTTTGAGCCCACCTGGTCCCTTAACTGCACCTTTCCCATAAGTGTTTCTTTCTTGTGGTCAGAGTTTACCTTCCCAGGGTACAGTTCACCTTAGTGTTGTCCTGCCCAGCTCAGCGTCTTGTGCACAGGAGCTTTACAGTGATGCTTGACTTCGTTAACTCGAGCTTCCTTCATTTCTGGTGGGAATGAAAGTCTGAGAAATAGAAAAAGGAAATAGTGAAGGTTCAGGAAAGAATTGGGGTCTCTCTCTTTCTCTCACACACACACTTTGCTCATTCTCATCCATACATCCCCCTCTCTGTAGACATCTATTCATAGATGGGTGTCATTGATCATCCTACCCTCAAGACTAACAACCCTTTCACCTTTGGGTTAGTTGCAGCTCTTAACCATCCCCCAGAGTTCCTTTTGGATCTGTTTCTGTCTGTTTTGAGCAGATACTGCATTTAGCTGTCAGAAGAGGGTCTTTGGGGACAGTGCTGCTAGGCAGAGATGATCTGCTGCCCCAGTTTCCTTTATTCTTTCCTCCTCCTCTAGAGGTGGAGAGTATGAGAGGATGCTGTGAACCAGTTACACTGCTTCTCATTCTCCAGAAGAGCACCAGCCATGTGATTATGCAGGCATTGAGTTTGGGCCCTTGGTCAGATCAGGGAAGAGGGTTGTCTGCTAATCACCTGCCTCAGGCTGCTCATTGTTAAAACACTTTGCAGCTTATATAGCACACCAGCCTTTTCCCTCTTCACTATCCAGCATCATGTTCTTGACCCACATCAGCTTCCTCCTCCTTCAACTCATACCTTTTGGAGGAACTTGGAGTATCCACTGATGTGCACCATCAGAAACCTCCTGTTTTTGTTTTTCACATGCATACTGGCACAGTCATCATTTTCTTTTCATAAAACTGTTATCTATTCATCCTTCAGTCTATCCATCCATTTCCCTCCCCTCTCTTCATAATCTTCTTCCTCTTTCCCAGGGGTATATGGTGAACGTTATCCGAAGGTTCTAATGTTGGGCTGTGGTGGTGTGGAGGGGTGTCAGCTGAGGAGTGGAGCTTGTAGCAGCTCTAAGGGATTGTAAGAGGGTTCTGGTGTAGCAGGCTATTGGAGTGGCTAGGTAGTTCTTTATCTATAACTGGAAGCACTGTCAGTGCTGGGGATGTAGGAGGGAGAGTGTCTCCTTAGAACTAGAGGTGACCTTGTTGGTCATGACTCAGATTCTATTGAGATGGGTCCCTGCACATAGATTAGGGCTTCTTTTGTTTTTATCCAGTACCCCCAGGACTGCAGCAGTACCTGCCACAAAGGAGTGCACAATATGCCTTGTCCCCCTGAAAGGTGTGTGTAGTCATAATGCCTGTATATTCCCTGGAGGTCAGTCTGAGGATTTCTGGCTGGCCCTGAGGGAGGTGGCTGATTTAGTGGTTAGGCCTGTCAGATGCCAGGGGAAAGGGTGGGAAGAATAGGAATCAGGGCAATAGCCATCTCAGGGACAGGGTAGAGTAGGGCAGAGGCAGCTCCAGATACATCTTGTGAAAGTGAGACAGGTGGGAAGAAAGGAGAATGAGGGCCTATGGGCTGTGTTCCCTGGAAGTCATAGGGCTTTGGCCCAGAGGCAAATAAACTCCATAGGGCCTGAGCTGTAGGCAGAGGCAGAATTATGTATGAATTATGTAGTGCTGGGAGCAATGCATTCAATGGGCAGGAAATTCCAGGCACAATTGTGTTTATTTTGATAAGTGACCACCTCCCTGTTCTGGTTGTTGCAGTTCCTGGACAATTGTAGGGGTTGCTGCCCTTATCCTGCTCCTGGTAGCCCTGTTGTCTCGTGTTCTCGTCAAAAGAAAACCGCCCCGGGACCCGCTGTTCTATGGTATGTCTCCATTGTGTCCACTTGATAATAATACTTTGCTCTCAAGTTACATGTTCTTCATTGGTTGTGAAAACTCTGGGCCTACTGGTAACAGTGGCTTAAAGTGCAAGGGTGTTTTAGGACAGACAGTGTCACCTTGCCTTTAAGCTATGGCCTCTCCCATAAGCTATGGCCTCCCTGGTAGAAAGATACTGCCAGGGCCAGACTTGCCTCTGTTCTTTACCCTCTGACCCCTCAATATGCTCCTACCTCTCACCTTGCTGGACCTTCTTCCTATCTTCAACCTGGTTCTTGTAGTCCCCTTTGCCTGGCGTGGAACTTAGCTATTCAGTGCCTCAGTCTGTACATTTGTATGAAAAAGAAAATAATAATACCTACCATGGGGGTATGTAAAACATTAAATAAGGTAATATTTGTAATGTGCTTAGATCAATGCCTGACAAACATACACATGTTAAATAAACAAAAATGCTATTGATTGAGCACCTACAGCATACCTGGGAAGGCTCAGAGCACAGTAGCAGTATTATTTTATTTAATCCTTACAACAAACATCCTTCCACTTGCAAATGAAGATGCTAGCTCAGAGATGTTTAGAAATATGGTCAGGGTCACATAGGCTAGTGAGAACTGCACTAACCCCAAAGCCCAGGCTCTTTCATTGTGGATGCTGCCTCAAGCAAAGCTGTTAGTGGCCTCTGAGTGCTTCCTGTGCTTGGCATCTTATTTGTTTAGTTTCTGCTTCAGTAATGCTGATATCAAACACTTCAGTCATGCTGATATCAAAACCAAATATCAGTGTCATACAACAACAAACCTTTTTTTTTCCTTGGTTACATGTCTGTGAGTTGGCTGGGGCCATTATGCTTCAGGCTGTGGGTTGAATTCAGGGTTTTTCCATGTGTCTCCTTTTTCTTGGATCAGTAGCTCCCCAGGCCGTGCCAGCCTCATGGCAGATATGGAGGCTGAGGGGGCTAGTAGAAAGAAAGTGATGTCCCTTAAGGCCTTGGCTTGGAGGTGACTACTGTCACTTCCATCCATATTCTGCTGGCCTAAGCAGGCCATATGGCTGAGCCCATCATCATAGGCATGGGGAGCATTCTCTGTCCACAGCAGGCCTTGGCAAAGGTGGGTCAGAAGAATTGTGAGTGATTTGTTTTCCCCAATTCATATATAAAAAACTCTGATGCTTAGAGAAATTATGTTAGTTGCCTAAGGTTTTATGGCTGGTTGGTAGATGAGCTAGGCCAGTCTGATATCAAAGTCCATGGCCTTTCCCTTGCACTGCTCCACTTGCTCTGATCTGTTCCCAGAGCTTCCCTTCCCAGACTAGACTCCTGCTGCTGTCTCCTCTCCATTCACACCCCATGGAGCCCACACTTAACTTACTGATATCTCCCCCATTCTCCTGTACTCTCTGCCTTCTCTTCTTGGCTCTTTACAGCTTGCAAGTTGGAGGCCAGCCTGTGCAACTTAGTGGGACCCTGTCTGAAAATGCAAATGATGTTAGGTGGTAGAGCACCCCTGGATTCCATCCCCAGTATTGAGGGAGGCAGCTTTTTTGACAGACTAAAACATGCTGCATTTGTCTCCTACTGTTTAAGAAGTACTATTCCTTGGCTTATTTGTTGCTTGTAGTTTTAAACCCATTTGGGAGTTTCATACAACTCATTATTAATAAGATTCTCTAAGATATGACAGCTCTCCTTCTTTCATGTTCAATTACACTGTCTCATAAGTATTCATTTTTTGAAATCACTGGCCTATTTTCTTAAAGATATTGTTATTTGCACATCAGCCACCTATCTCCTTGGCATCGCCATTATGAAATAGGCAAACACCTGGGACACACTGTGAGTTAGCCTGTGTGGTAATCATTGAGATGATTCACCTCTTCTGTTATTATCTTAAATCTGGCGGTCACTGGTTTGCTTCTTTAGCCACTCTGTTATTGCCTTTGTTCCTGCTGCATAGGTGGGATGAGTCAGTGGTAGCTTTGTCATTCTTCATCCCAATGACTCGTGCTCTGTCAGTGAGAGTTCTTGGGCGGGCATGGGGAGGTCATGAAAATAGACAGGTGTGGTCTGCTGGTCTGTGTTGACAAGTGTCCCCAGCATTTTCTGGAAAACATCAGAAACATTCCATTTATTCTTAGCAAATGCCAAGCTCTTAGTAATTATTTTCTGCACTACTGCTTTTTAAACTGCTGCTTTCTTTGACCTAGTGTATGCAGTTTTTGGATTTACCAGCGTGGTGAACCTCATCATAGGACTGGAACAAGATGGCATCATTGACGGGTTCATGACACATTACCTGCGAGAGGTACGGAATTGCTTAGTGATTGTGAGGCTTAAACCAAATGGTCAGCAACCTGGGCCACATCATTCAGTCCTCTCATTTACTGTAAACAGGTCTGATACATTGCATCATTTCCTATCATAGATTTAGGCTTTGCTCACACGGTAAGTGAAGCTGAAGGATAAGTTGAGATCATGGGAATTGGGAAGCAATTTCTTCAAATGTTCTGCTCTCATAACTCTTCCCTCATTCCTGACCCACCACATGACTTATCTTTTCCCTTTAAAAGAGGAACTGTAGATGAATTTAGTTTTTGTGTGTCTGTTAATATATTAATCTCAGAAAGTGCAAACTGGTCTCAAATTTGCAAGGTACCAAACACTGAGGCACTTAAGTGATTTGATTATGATGATTTACCCCACCTCCAACCAAATCATGGCACTTGAGGGAGCTAGTCCTATTTTATTTTATGGTGGATTAGATCCAGCCCCAGAGAGGGTAAGTGACTAACTCAAGGTCACACAGGAAATAAGCAGGGCCAAAAGCATAGTCTTCATCTGTTTCAAATAATGGGGGGCTTTGTATGCCACCTAAGGGGGTTTGGGTGTTATCCTGTTCATGAGGTGAAATTTTAAATTAGGGAAGAAGGCAGTCAGCTTTGGGAAGGATGGGATTATGGGGGGAAGGGTCAATGTTATGAGCTGGAACACCAGTAAGGTTTCTTTTGAGGCAACAAGACATGAAGGTGGTCAAACAAAGGCAGCACCTGGGAAATAGGGAGGGGGTGAGCTTCAGAGCATTTGGCTGGAATGAATAGGACTTGGTGACAAGTTGGGGGTGAAGTGGGGGTAAGGCCCAAGATGACTTCCTGGTTCCTGCTTTAGAATTTGGAAGAATGCTGGTGTTAGAAAATCAGAGGCATCTGTTGAAGTAGACTTGGGTCACAAGATCTGCTTCCTACTGTCCAGGGGCTCATTGGGTGGTGGGGATTGTCCTAGGTGCAGTGATAGAGGCTCATCTGAGGCACAGAGGACCTAACCATGGAAATAGCCAGGGAAGGCCTTATCAAGTTGGTGACATTGTTATACCTATTTTTAAAATGTCCATGGGAGAGGATGAGAAACTTCTGGATGGCCCAGAGAGATGGGAAGGCATTCCAAGGAGAAAGGACTACTTGGGTAAAGGCTTAGAGAGAAATACCATGTGTCTTCTCCTGGGTACAGGTTTGCAGGGATGGTGCTGAATTCATTGAGGACATGTGGAGTTTCAGGTACTTGAGGGACATCTTGGCAGATGTTCCAGTTAATAGAACTTTGTAAATTTTGAGCTCCAAGGAATGGTCCTGGCAGATTTGGGGGCTATCTGAATATAGTTGGTACCAGCAGATCTGAAAGGAGAGGAACTTATTTGGGAGATGTGGAGAGAAGGCAGCTAAGGTCAGAACTTTGGAAACTGGGGCCAGGAGAGGAGGAGCCTCTAAAGTGAATTGTGACAGGTAGAAAGAGACATAAGAGAAACCCAGAGAGCCAGGCCACTAAGTCCAGAAGAGGAAGGCTTCAGGAGGGAGGTGGCTGACCAAAAGGCTAGAGGTCAAGCTGATGAGGGTGGTAAGCATTGGGGCAGATGGGGCATGAGAAGAGGAATTTGGATGGAATAGTAGTAAGGTCATAGGCCAGATTCTGGAGACGTGGAAGCTGTATAGAGGGGATGGGGCTTTTCCTGTAGGCAGTAACACGCTTTGAACAGTTTTAGAGCAGAGTGACATGCCAAGAGTCAGGCTACATGACTCTTCATCCAACAGCAGTGTTGGCTGAGAAGGAGGGGAGAGACAGGGAGATCATTTGGAAATGTAGCAGTGGTTCAGGAAGGGACACTGAGGCTTGACTGGGCTGAAATGAAGAGAAAGGATTGCGTGGGATGACACCAGAGAGAGAAAACTGATAGGATTTGCCAAAAGACTGTAGGAGAGCAAGGAATTAGGAAAAGAAAAGATGGGGGGGGGGGGGGGGGAGGGAGGGAGAGAATGAATGAATGAATGAATGAATGAATATTGAGATCCTGTTGTTTTGACCTGGGAACTTGAGTGGCATTGCTGTTAACATAGAGGTGAGGTGGGGTGCTGGTTGAGGGGAGAAGCTGATGAATTGGAGGAGTTCCAATGAATTTGAAGGGCTCATGAACCATTCTGCTAAAGATGTCCATCCAGCCACCAGGATAGGCCTGCACTGTCTCTGGGAGCCAGGTATGTATGTGTGAATGATTGAAACCATGAAATGAAATGGTATTAGTTATCTAGTCAGGGCATGATATAGAGAGAAATGATGTGGGCCAGGCAGTGGTGCAGAAGTATAATTTTGGTGATGTTTCCTCCTCTGATACGATTTTGATTTGTGGGGAAAGATGATAGAGCATTCCTTTGTCCCAGGGAAGCGTGAAGCTTGAGAGAATGCCTGGCTTGGTAGCTGACTGATCTGCACTCTTCTTATTGTAGAAAGGACTTAAGGTTCAGTGGCAGAACACTTGTCTGGCTTGTGTGAGATCCTGGGTTCAATTCCCAGCACCGCAAAAAAAATAAATAAATAAATAAATAAAATTATGAAAGACTTAAGGCATATTAGGGAAACATGAAACAAGCCATGAGAACATGCACATGGGAGAAGAAAGGAAAAAAAAGAAAGTGGAGGCAGAAAGACAGTAAAAACCAGGCATATTTGACAGTGATATTGTAGTAGCCACCTGGACAAGGGAAATGTGGTTTATTATATAATCTCATCTTTGTAAAATTCCTAAAATTAAAAATTTCTCAGAAGTATGAGTCTTCTTGAGAGTACAGTTTCTGCTGTATACTCACTTCATGACTATAGGCAAGTCTTGTAACCTCTTAAAGCCTGTTTCCCCCCTGTGAAATGGAATTAGTTGTGTCCATACCATAGGGCTCATGGGAGGGTTGAATGAAAGGTTGGTGGGAAGCTATGAGTTCAGTGTTGTCTCGCTGGAAGTAAGAGGGGCATGAGTTTCTCTATGACCATCCCAGCCAGCCATGGGATCAGTATGATAATGCCAGCCAGTAAGCAGGGTCTTGGCTACCCCTCTGGCCATAGTCAAATACCTCTGGCTTCAGTGAGTTGGCCATGCAGCCAGGATGGCTCACACTGCCATCTGCCTTTGTATTGATGTATGTTCATCTGTCATAGAACCTTTTTTTTTTTTTTAACTCTTGTGGCAGTCCCTAGTTTTGGCAGCTACAGGATAAAGTTATATTTTCAAGTTCCTACCAATTGAGTAGGAATAGTTTCATTCTAGAAGACTAATACCAAGTAGTTCTGCTGTTTTATTTTACTTGCAAAATAGGTCTGGGGTTCAGCATTTAACTGAGTATTTAAAATGGACTTTTTAATGTTTTCTTTAGGGTGAACCATATCTGAATACTGCCTATGGGCACATGATCTGCTACTGGGATGGATCTGCTCATTATCTGATGTACCTAGTGATGGTGGCAGCCATAGCTTGGGAGTAAGTCTGTTTGCCTGCTGTGTGTGCCTTTGCTCTCTTAGCAAAGATAAATAGGTATGTAAGGAACATGTATTTAGAGAGGCAAATACAGTCAGGTACATTTGGACCTGAATATAAGTTCTGCAGGTACATGTCCAATGTGGCTTTATTTTTCTTGCACCACTGCCTTTTTTAATGTGTCCTGGGATTGCTTCCCCACCCTAGTGAAGCTCAGGCAGTCTGACTTTTAGCTTTCTGATCATGTTTTCTAATAATAACAAGTCTCATTTTCAGGAATTCAAGCTCAGCACATTCTGATTCAAAACTTCAATCTCATTTTAAAGCTTTTCCCCATTGCCAGGTGTAGTTCTGTGATTTGGGGACCTTCACCCAGCCTTGGGAGAGTCTGTCATAGTCCTTTTCAACTCTCTATGGCCGTCTACTCTGGGAGTGTATGGATTAAAGTGTAGGATTAAAGAAAGAGGGGAAGTCTTATGTGACAGTTGCTGTTTTCTGGGTACTAGTGTTCTCTACCATGAAATGCTGTGTCTTGTGGGACACCTATATGGGCTCTTTGGAGACCACTATGGCAAGAACCTCTGCATCGTTCAAGTTCCTGAAGTAAGCAATGCTGTCTGGCTGAATTTGACTCTCCTGTCCGTGACAGTTTACCCATAGCTTCTTTCCATATCCCACAAGGCACACTCTTTGGGGAGGCTTCTTTCAAGATGGCTCCAGCTACCTTCCCAGGCTTTCCCTTGGCTCCAGGTTAGAGAAAGTCATGCATTTCTGCCCCATCTAAGGTTGAAGTGATGCTTGATTGGCTGTTCCCCCTTTCTCATCATACACTTGAGGATAGCTCCAGCTAATTCTTATTTGTTCCTTTATGGACAATACAAGTCATTGTGAAAGGTCCTCATGGGGTTGGCTGCATTTGGCTTGGGACTGGGATAGGGCAGAAAGCACATAGTGTTCTCCACTTCTGTACCCTTCAGAGAATCTTCTTTTGAGCTTTCCATAGCCTCCTTTATTGTATGAAGTTGAGTTATTGGGTTATCAGTTGAAGCAACATTTCAACCAATAATCCAACATTGAAGATTGTGGGTATATGTCTAGCAGCTCCTTTAAAACATGGAATATGTGTCATGTACTATCTCTACTTTTGGGGCTTTGGACAAAACTCTGTTGCAAAGGGAAAGTGCGTTTTATATTGTTACTCATACTTACAATGATTTAAAATATGGATCCAGTTTCTTTTCTTCTTTTAACTTTCTCTTCCTTTTCATGCTCTTTTACATCTAACAGGGAGTTCTGTGACAGTGATGAATACATTGTAATTTAACAGCAGATTGAGGTAGTAAGAATAATTTCTTATTCAAAGGGATACAAAGAAGGTTCTGTAGTGTATTACATATGGAGATGATGTTTGATTGCTAGGATTCCTTTTGTTTGATTTATTACTCTTAATTCATGCACTAGTTAGAATAAAACATAATATTGAGGATAGTCTTTTCTAATAATACTCTAAGACAAGTGTGCTAAGTCAAGATTTTTTTTTTTTTTGTTACAGGGAAAATTATAGAACCATTGGCCTATATTGGGTAGGATCCATTATAATGAGTATTGTTGTTTTTGTGCCTGGAAACATTGTAGGTAAGAAACTTTATCTTAAAATTCACTTTCCTTTTCTGCAATAATGGGGATTTTTTTAAACAATATGTAGATTATTTTGGTTATTAGAGAACTAAGAGATTTCAAGATTATAAAAAACCTGTTCTGTAAAATTATTCCTGTTCCTTTCTGTAATCTTGACTTTTAAGAAGTGCCTTTAAGCAGATTTCAGAAGAGCGCATTGAACAATTATGACAGTTAAGTATCACAGATTCCTAACTTTTTGAAGGATAGAGAGGCTGACTCCAGCATTTGTGGCAACATTTAGTGTGCAAATACTTGTTACAACTCTTTGCTATATATATAAAACTCTTGACACACAATGAGAACTCAACAAATGTATTTGGAAATTGGTAAAAAGTTATTATGCATGCTGGAAACCAGGATGGTATATTACATATATTTTTTAATACTGTTGACAGGATATGCCCATTAATATCTACATTTTAAATTCACATTTTCTTCTTCATCTCTTTAAATATAATGTCTGATCCATAGAAAAATTTTAGATGATTTGAGATGGGGAGGTATCTGCAGGTATCCTAAATATTACTTGTGGTTAGATATGCTTTGGGTAAACATTTGAATTTCTCTTTCTTCTCTTTTAAATAGGGAAGTATGGAACAAGGATTTGCCCTGCATTTTTCTTAAGCATACCATATGCTTGTCTTCCTGTCTGGGCTGGTTTCAGAATCTATAATCAGCCATCGGAAAATTATAATTATCCCTCAAAGGTGATTTTATTAAGTTTAAACGTAACCTGTTTTCAAATGTCCACTGGTCACTGAATTGAGTTATACCTCTAAGGACTGGAGCATCTGAGGCGAGGCATCAATCAGTGTGACTCTGTTGATTGTGTAACATTTGTTTACATTTCCGTTGATGTGACCAGGCTGGTTGGCTTCTGTCTGAATACACCAACTTCTATTAGACAGGCCATACTTTTGGAACTTTATCAGATTCTGCATTAATGTGTTAAACAAGGTTCACATGTGTACTTTGTCTGAAGTTATTAATGGCTTGGGTTTGAGTACCTGGAAACTGTGCATATATTGGCCCACAAGGAGGTTGGAGAGCTACTGCTATTCAAGGTAGTCCACATAGCCATAGGGTCTGATTCCCAAGAAATCCAGGCACATGGAGATTGGCTAGAGGACCTCTTCTGAGATACCTCCCTTCTATTCACAGCCAAAGTGGGCAAGGTGAAATAATACTGACCTGGCAGGTACTCTGTTAAAAGTCTTAATATCTAACCTAGTGACATCTTTCTAAGTTTCTTTTCCATTTATAGGTATTAGATCTTTTTTTTAGGAAAATATTTTTTAGTTGGCAATGGACCCTTATTTTATTTATTTATATGTGGTGCTGAGAATCGAACCCAGTGCCTCACATATGCTAGGCAAGCACTCTGCCACTGAGCCACAACCCCAGCCCCAGGTATTAGATCTTTAGACAAGATCCTTTAAATAAAGCATATAAATGCAAATATAAATCATACGATAATATAATTATCAGAGTAATGGTTATTTATTTTACACCCCCCACCCTTTTTTAGGGATGGTACTGGAGGTTGAACCCAGGGGTGCTTACCTGCTGAGTCATATCCCAAACCCTTTTTGTTTTTTATTTTGAGACAGGGCCTTGCTAAGTTGCTGAGGCTGGCTTTGAACTTCTGATCCTCCTGCCTCAGCCACCTATGCCACTGGGATTACAGGATTGTACCACCACATCCGGCCTACAAAAACATTTATAATAGAACTCAATAAAATTATTATTTTTTTCCTTGATGCTGGGGATTGAACCTATAGTCTCCTGTATGCTAATTATCTTCTCTACCATTGAGCTAAACCCACAGTGTTAAAATATATTTAAACCTACACACACTTTATTTGTAAACATTTAGACACCTGCTGTGTTAAACTCAGGCTGGCACACTGGTGCTTTTACATCCCTTTGAGGAATGAGGTAGTTGTTAAAAAGAAAAAGTAAATAGCAATCCTGGCTTTAGCCCCGTCTTCCCTGCTTTCAGAGGCACCATGTCAGTATGCCATCAGAATAATCATAAGACCCACAGAACCTTTAATTATTATTTTTGATGCTAAAACACAGTGATGGACCAAATGCAACCATCATACAGTGCTAACAAGAACCTAAGTTTATAAACTTAACAATCCTTCAACCTAAAAATTGAATAGTCAGTGACCTATCCTAAGAAATTCATTAAAGAAATGCTGTCAAAGATTTTTATGTACAGCTGGGTATGCTGGTGCACACCTATATTTCCTGCTGCATAGGGGGCTAAGGCAGGAGGAGTGCAAGTTCAAGACCAGCCTGGGCAATGTAGTAAGACCCTGCCTCAAAATAAAAAATAAAAAAGCTGGATTTTATAGCTCAGTAGTGGAACACCCGTTCAATCCCTAGTGCTGCAAGCAAAAAAGATGACAAAGATTTATGTACAAAATTGTTCACCATCACATTAAATTTGACAGTGAAAAATATGTAAATGCCAACAGTGGGAGAATAGCTAAAGTGTGTTTCCATATAGTGTTAAGTTTTGGAACTTTTAATAATGCAGGAAAATGCTTATTATATAGGTAGTTGTTGAGTGAAAAGAGACTGCAAAATTGTTTATATATTATGTTCTAATTTTGTGAAAATACAGATTTTAGCTGTCCATGTCTGTAATCCCAGTGACTCGAGAGGCTGAGATAGGAGGATCAAAAGTTTGAGGCTAGCTTCAGCAACTTAGTGAAATCCTATCTCAAAATAAAAAAAATGTGCTGGGGTGCTGGGGTTGTAGCTCAGTGGTAGAGTGGTTTCCTGGCATATGTGAGGCACTGGGGTTGATCCTCAGCACCACATAAAAATAATAAAATAAAGGTATTATGTCCACCTACAACTAAAAAATATATTAAGAAGAAAAAGTGCTGGGGATTGATCTCAGTGGTAAAATGACCCTGGGTTAAATCCCATCTCCCCTGCCCCAAAATGGATTTTATATGAATATGTATATATACAAATGAATACAAATGTAAATATGTGACTAAAAAGTGATATGACTAGTTCATGGTTTATTTATTAATATTTTCTTAGTTTTCAAATGAATGTATCTTTTAAAATCATGAAAATGTCATTTCAAGAAAAAATCTGGGGGCTGGAGATGTGGCTCAAATGGTAGCGCACTGGCCTGGCATGCGCGAGGCACTGGGTTTGATCCTCAGCACCACATAAAAATAAAATAAAGATATTGTGTCCACCTAAAAACTAAAAAAAAAAAAAAAAAAAAATCGGGGGGGCTGAGGCTGTAGCTCAGTGGCAGAGCACTTGCCTAGCATGTGTGAAGCACTGGGTTAGATCCTTAACACCACATAAAAATAAATAAGTGAAATAACGGGATTGTGTCCAACTACAACTAAAAAATAAATATTAAAAAAAGAAACAAAATAAAGGCATGCTGTCCATCTACAACTATAAAAAAAATAAAAAAAAAAAAAAAGAAAAGAAAAAATCTGGACTAACAGAGCTGGAAAGGCCCTTCAAGATCACCTGGTCTCATCTCTTCATTTCACAGAAGGAGTGGGGATGACGCTCCTAAAGTTCCATGGCAAGTGGTATATGATATGAATTGTGAATCTTCAAAATTCTGTCATCCATCATCATGGCATTCAGTGTTTAAGGAGATCTGAGATTCTTCTTTGGCACTTTGGGCTTGCTGTTTAGATAAAACTCTATTTTAGGTTGTACAAGAAGCCCAAGCAAAGGACCTGCTGAGAAGACCACTGGATTTAATGTTGGTCATGTGTCTCCTCCTGGCAACTGTATTTTGCTTGTTCAGAGGCTTGGTAAGCATAAGAGATCAAAACAACATTATTATCCTATTAATGCTTCCAAAACTCCTGAAAATGTTTTTTTTTTTTTTCAATCAGACTTCTTAGCAAACAAACAAACAATTTTTTCCTGTTAGAGCCTGGAATTCTGGACCTACTTCATGCTGGTCTCTCACCCTCAAGCCTCTGATCCCAAGGGGTGACTACATCTTGGGTTGTTTCATACCACCTCCTTTAGGTCCCTAGGTCAAGCTTCATCGAAAAGTATCTTCCTTACCTTATTTTAGCCATTAGAATTCAATTTTCTTGGATCCTTTGATGTTTCTGATTTAAATGTAAATATATTTGGCAAGGATGATATCCTAAGACTCATCTAGCTGTCACACAGAGCATCTCAAGAGAAGGGGCAATGGGACTGAGTAAGAATTCAAATTCAAAATAAACAATTCAAATCTATGTAGGGTCATGTGAATTTCTCACTGGTAAGAATAGTGTTGAGCAAACCAGCTCCAGGTTCAGAGTCTGGGTATTGATGTGCATGATAAACATTAAGGGCATGTGGACATTTCATTTTTTTCTACTTTCCCTTTATAATTTTTATAATATGAAGGATAAGAAAAAGACCTATAAGCTTTTGAGTTTGGAATCTTGGCCATTTACTATAGCTCTATGGCCTTAGAAAAATTTTCTTTGACCTCAATTTTTTCCTCTAAAATGAAACTACCTACCTTACAGTATTGTTTTGAATATTAAGTAAGATAATGCACATTAAACTCTTGGTAGAGTTACTATGTATAAAAAGTAAGCATCAATAAATGACTTCTCTGTTTTAATTGATCAGTGATCCTTCACAATGCTCTGTTTCATAATTTATTCTTAGCAGAAAAAAATTTAAGCAGCTCGGAATTAACTATATTCAGCTTAGAACAGTCAGGGAACAGAGCGGCAAGTGTAAACTGATGCAGCTTTTCCATTTTTTTGCGGTCCTTGGGCTAAAAGGGGCCTGTATGGCCACTGAGGATTCACAGTAAGAAGCTATTTTGAGTTGTCTCTGTTTATGGATTGTCAGAATCATCCTGGAGGATTTGGTTAAGAAGAGGAGAGAGACAGGGAAGGGAAACAAAGGCAAGGTCATAGGCCACTGAAAACTTTTCATACCACTGAAACTTTTCTTTGGTTAGTTTGCTGTATATTTCTCAAAGTAGAGACAAAAAGAAATAACATGACCCAGTTGTATTCTTGCAAAACCATATCCACTTCCCTCTGCATGTTAGAAAAATGCGTGGATGTGTATGTGTGGTAAGTGGGGGTTTTGCAGATGGGTTTTGGGTTGGGACCCATTTTGACCAGTTCTGACATTGGCTTGTGTTCTACATGTTGGGACATTTCATTTATGGCCAAGGATATGAGGAATGGTACCTGAGAGGGAAGGTGACTCAGCAGACTCAGTAGTATGCCAAAGAGACCTTTGTCTGTTCTGTGGCCTAGAGTTTTCTCTGCTGAGACTAAATCTTTTCTGATCTCTTTCAAAGTAGATACAGGAGGTGGCTTCAGACAAGAGGATCCTGCTTTTAAATCATTATCCTTTACTATACTCAAAGGCCATATATACTCTGTGAGGCACTGGAGAGAGGAGGATGCTATTTTTGAATCTTGGAGAGGATAGTAAGATGAATTTGGTATAGAAATCTACTTTTCTTCCTGTAGGGACTAGTTGGCTAGTTATTCCCAGGAGAAGTGAAACTAAATCTAAAGCAAGCTGTGCTTTGGCTAGCCAAACCTACATACTTAAACTATGAATATTTGAAAGATACCCAAGAATAGAGCATTTGTTTCCATTTCCTACTCCACTATTAACCTCTGTTTAATTTCCTTAGATAAATCTGCAGAATATTTCCTCTTTCTCTTTCATTGATGAACCTCTACAATGCAGTTTTTGTTAAATAGCAGCTTGTGACTAAACCTGGCACATTAGCCTTATCAGCAAACCTACAAACCAGAAGTGATTGTATTTTTATGATAAATTCATTTTTGTTCTTAGATTGCTTTGGATTGCCCAGCTGAACTCTGCCGATCGTATGCACAATTTCAAGAGCCCTACCTAAAGGATCCTGCTGCTTATCCTAAAATTCAGGTCAAGTAGTTATGAAGCCTAAGAATTTTTAAAAGTTTAAAAGTTAAATTCTTTTTTTTTTTTTTTAATGGGAAAATGTGGCCCTAAAGAGAAAACTGAATTTAGGATTTTATCCTGAAAAATGTTATTTGTTTTTATACTTTTTGTTTAGGCTAAGCTATTAATTTGCTGATGTTATTTATTTCTCCATTCAATACAGATGCTGGCATATATGTTTTATTCTGTCCCTTACTTTGTGATTGCACTTTATGGCTTAGTGGTTCCTGGGTGTTCCTGGATGCCTGACATAACACTGATTCACGCTGGAGGCCTAGCTCAGGTACTAAGAATATTTTCTTCTGAGTGGTGATATAGCTATCATTATTGAATATATATAAAAACTATCTCTGTTCAGTGTTTAGAGTAAGAAATAGCTATGAGACATGTTGTCTTTTGTTTTACAATTCTTTGGAAGACATTTCTGTATATACATTTTACTTAAACAATAACTATCTAGTAGATTTGTCTAGTTATACAGATGAGGAACCTGAGGTTAAGTGACATTACATGATTTGCCCAAGTTCACATACCGAGCAAGTAGCGCTATTGTTTTTATAGGACTGTTTCCCAATCTCTGAATATCATGGCCACTGAAAAGGAATTGAGAGCTGTTATTTTCAAGATGTCTATCTAAATTTAATATTTCCAATTCTGCTATACTATGCTATATAGAACCAGGGAAACTGATCTTAAGAAAAGTTCTGCTCCTGGAAAGCTGGGCCTGTTGTTGAATTCCTCCTTCTGGCACCAAGCTAATTCTCTGACAGTGGGTGTTCAGTAAAAGTTTACTACATTAAACTGGAAATTATTTATGCAGTTATCATACAAAACATTTTTACAAGCATAACAAGTAGTGAAACAAAGCAATCTTCTGAACAAGGAAGAAAGTTAAGTAATTATTATAGTTTCTTACTGGAAATAAAAAAAAATGAACTCAGTTTTTTAAAAAACTTTGTCTTGTTCATTTCAAGAAGGCTTAAGAATGAAGTTCATCCAGAAACTCTAGGCATATACAGTTAAGTATGTACCCATGGTGTAGTAACCATATGGCAAAGACACTAGAATTCAGAATTAAAGAACAATTACAGTATTTTGGGGGTTACTGGGTTAAATCCTTCAAGCCTGAGGCATTTAATTATAAAATTGGAATATTCATAATAGAAAAGTCAATTCAGCACCCAAAAGAAAGGATTCCTATCCTGGAGGAGACCTCCATTTATCCCACTTTGTTGGTGGCTCCTCCTTTATAGACCCAACTCTTCAGGCCTTCAACTATAAGTAATGACTTCCAATTGCTTCATCCCAATTTGCTCCAAGACTCTTATATTTATAATTCCAGACTTGATCATTTCCCCTGGTTGTGTCATTCCCTTGTCAGATTTAGAGACTAAAATAGGACATGGGCAAATTATGCTAAATATTGTACTTACCTATTTGTGTAAGGATAGCTCTGTGTTCTGTTGCAGTAACAAATACTCAGTGGTTAAACAGTAAAATTTCATTTCTTGCTGTGCATAGATCATATGGAATATATTCAAGGGCCAGTTCTGGTATCAACTCAGCTGCAGGGGAGTCTGGTAAATGTGGTCTTCCTATGTGCCTCAGAAGAAAGAGTAACGTATGCATGACATTATCTTTGCAAAGATTTTTGTTTTTAAATTAAATTTCCATTTAAAGATGACGAAACTGAAGCTAGGGACAGCTTGAGTCACTTGGCCAAGGTCACTAGAGTTACTAAATGGCATAAAAAGGATATGAAATCCTGACTCCAAAGCCCATCTTCTTTTTCACTATCTTCCCCTGCCTCTGCAAACAGCTATGGCACAGGGTTCTTCTATGCAAGAAAGACTGTGTGCAGCATGGAGGAGTTGGAGAACCTTTGTGGGTGAGCATGAGTGTGGGAGGCAGTGACATCTAAAGGGGTTCTGAGGGCCAAGCAGGACTTTATTAGGTTGAGTCTCTTCAGGGAACAAAGAAGCATCTAGATGTCAGAGTGTGCAGCAGGTCAGTGGGCAGAGTAAACCTTGGCTTTTTTCGTGGCCTGGTTCCTCTCCATTATTTTCCTGTATCATCCAGGATACATATACATACTCACCATACTCTTGCCAGCCTTTTCTTTTCTCTCTTTTTTTGTACTGGGAATTGAATCCAGGGGCATTTTACCACTGAGCTACATCCCTAGCCCTTTTAATTTTTTTGAGACAGGCTCTGGCTAAGTTGCTGAGGCTGGCCTGGAACTTGAGATCCTCCTGCCTTAGCCTTCCAAATTGCTGGAATTACAGGCATGTGCTACAGTGTCCAACTTTTCTAGGATTAGATTATTCAGAGTCCAACAGCTACTCATTACCTGTGTGCTTTGATTCACTATTGGGCCTCCTCTGCACTCCATGTGCCTTGGTCTTCCCTGTGCCACCAGCTTGAGGCAGCACTCAGCTAGAAGTGTCCTCAGCTAGGAGGATGGCAGAGGAGGCCTGACGTGGGACCTGTAAAATCTCAGGAAACTAGAGAATTATGCAGAAAAACCTAAGCAAAGGCCCAGTCATGTGGAATGAGCCAGGAGTCAGGAGGCTTAGGAAGGTCATGGCTTTGGGAGCAACTGGATATCAGAGCCCAGAGCACTGAAACCAACCCAAAACACTACCTGTTGATGAAGCTCATCTTTCAAATGGGTACTTGTGACTCTACTATGATCATTCTAGGAAGGGCAGCAGCAGTGGCAGCTTCAGCCAAACTTTAGGACTTCCAGGAATCCTTGGGCTTATTCATCACTACCCAATGTGACAAGGTAGCCTGAAGTTCCTCTCTTGCTGATAAGCGCCCAGACCCAGAGTCTGAGGCTCAGGTCCTATAAATGTCAGAAGGACATTTCTCTTGACTAAGCAGGCAAAGACTGGCATAATTCAAGAATTGTGTGTTTCACCCTAGAGCTATTATTGGGCTTGGGTATCTATTATACATAGTGTTCAGCCTAAGGAAAAGTTAGAAATCATGCTGCAGCAAAACAATGCATATGATTAGGATGTTGAATTAGTTGTTATTTGTTTTACACCTAGAAAATACCTGTTTATGAAATAGCCTCTCATCTTAGGAGGGTATCAGATATATTCAACATAAAAATTACTTTGTAACCTTGACCAGTACCTGTTGTTGGCTAAAATTGCCATGTCTAATTTAGAAGCCTTATACCTTCATGATCCTACTGACATTACCAAAACATGCTCTTATTAAAAGATCTAGTGAACTCCCAACTGTATGGAATTTAATAAGAAAAAAAATCTTTGCAAAGTTCTATATCTGTTAGGTCAATGGAAGACAGTCCTTGATTTCTGACAATGTAGGAGTTTGGCAAATCTGTTGACTTCAGAAATCAAAAGTTCACTAGATAAGTAGAATAAAGTAAAACCAGGACACCTTTTAGGCCAAATAATTCCACTGGAACTTATTCATAGCCAATTATTTCTTCATACAAAATGCTTACTATAGGACTAAAGTTGCAAGCCTAACTTAAAAAGTATTACAGGCTGATTCAATCTGTTTACTAGCATTTTCTATCAACTTACATAGCTCTATGTGCAGATTCAACCATCAAAAATTTAGGCCTATTAAACATATAGACTTTTCCTTGTCATTATTCCCTAATAACTATTTACATAAAATGTATATTCTATTAGGTATTATTAAGTAACCTAGATTTTAAACCTATGGTTTAAAGTATATGGGAGGATGTGTGTATTATACCTGCAAATATATCATTTTATATAAGGGACTTGATTATCCACAGATTTCCTGGAACCAATTTCCCTTAGCATAAATGGATTACTTTATAATTGTTAAAATATCATATTGTTAAAAATATTGTTAAAATAACAATATTTTTATATTGTTAAAATATCACTAAAAATGAAAAAATTAAAAGAAAAAAACCCCTCAGAGCTAATAGTTAATGGTTAAGAGCAGGAGCTCTGGAAGAAGAATGATTTAGATCCAACCTGTCACTGATTAGCTCAATGACCTTGATCACCTCTCTGATCACATTTCCTCTTCTGTAAAGTGAGGATATTAACAGTACCTTTCTCATAGTGTTGCTGTGAGGATTAAATGAGGCAATATATTTGAAGGGCTAAGAATAGTTCATGCCACACAATAGCTATGTAAACTCTTGGTTGCTATTATTATTATTGGTATAATTCCCAGTAAGAGTTTGGAGAAATGCCTTATTTTATTGAGACACTAATTAATCTGTAGCCAGTTTAAGCAAGCTATGTGTATTGCATATAATTACCTAAAACTCAAAGAAACTGGGTGAAAGCTATGGGACAGATTCACAACAGGCTTTCTGCAGCCCTACAACCTTAGAAGCAGGCTCATTTCACTCTTACAAGGTGAAATCTCCTCCCACTGGTTGCCCTCCGCCTCTCCCACTCCTGACTGTGCAGGTGCCATGGACTTTCTCACAAAGGGGTCTGGAGGCTTATCTGTGGACAATCTGGTTATAAAGAGCTGACTCTACTGAAGTGAATTTAGTTTTTTCCTTTGTGGAAACCTTTAAGACGTATATGAAAATAAAGGTTTAGGAAAAGTATGGATAATTGTAATATTAATGCAAATCTCACTTTACTCATTTGCTTTTGGTATGATTCATTACCAGACATCTTTATTTAGTATTAAAATGAGACTTTGGGTTTAACATATTTATATTATCCTTTGATGGAGACAATGACAGCCAAAAGGTCAACAAGAGCCCAGATTTTCAACAAAGTACAGCACCAGATTATGAAAAAGTATTTGAGTTTTGAATCTGTCTACAGAACAGCCTCATGTGCTTGGCACCATCCTAAGCATGTCCCAGATATCATTGCACTGAACCTCTATGAGGTAGGTTCTATTATTACCCATTTTTACAGATGAGGAAGCCACAGGGTTACATACCTCACCCAAGGCCATCTTGCTGGTTTGTGGTGGAGCTGGAATTTGACTCTGGCCATCTGGTTCCAGAGTAAGTGTTCTGAATCACTATACTATGCTGCTCAGAAAACCCTAAGAAAAGATAACATGGTTCCGGATTAGCTATTTATATTGTATTGGCCAAATAACCAGGCTATTGTCCCAATGGTCACATAGTTTTTGCCTAGAACATTCGTGTGAGCACATAAAATTCAGTTCTTCCTTCTGGAGCCAGGACTGATTTTTAGTTGTCTTTTCCAGGTTGTATCTATGAATATAAGAAAAAAAAGCTATTAAAACTTAGCCTTTTGTTTACTTTCATTGCCTCGTTTTCCATTCCAATCATCCAATCTTAAAAAAATCAAAGTAAGCTGGGCACGGTGGTACATGCCTGTAATTACAATGACGTAGGAAGTTGAGGCAGGAGGAACACAAGTTCAAGATCAGTTTTAACAAGTTAGCAAGGCCCTAAGCAACTTAGAGAGACCCTGTCTCAAAATAAAAATAAATAAATAAATAAATAAATAAAAAGGTCTGGGGATGTGGCTCAGTGGTTAAGTGCCCTAGGTTCAATTCTCAATACAACAAACAAACAAACAAACTGTATCTCAATGATCTTTGTAAGTTAGAAAACAATCCAGAATGAAATAGAAAAATGATTAAGGACTTAATCTCACACCACTGCACTTTGATCCAGATCTTATACCCATAATCCTGGGCCCCAAGTCAGCTCAGCAGCAATGAGTTCATTCATTCTCCTGACCCTTGCAAAGTGCTCAGGCTGAACTCTTCAAGCCATCCTATGGAGTCCTGTGTGCTTAGGAGGGGAACCCTCAGGTGAGACTGAGGTTCCTCTGAAACTTGACTCTAGATACTTAACACTAGTATGCTTGGGAGGAAGCTATAGTTGGATGCCCACTCAGCTGGAGGTATGGCTGCCATAAATGCACCCATTAGAATTATGTGCAGAACTAGGAGCTGGCATTAGAGTTCTCTTCTCATATACAGACATCTCTTTTGATTAGGAAAGTTAAAATCTTCACCCTTATTTAATAATTCTGAATCGAATGGCTTACTATAGGTAGTTATAAAAATAAAGAAATGCTTTACAGATCCTTTTTGTATTTTGAGTCACAGACCATTGTTGTTGAATGTTTATTGAGCTCTAACAAAGCGATAGTGCCACACAAAACATTAGACATGGTACCTGCCCAGAGGGCTTACAATCTAATCTAAGGACATGAATCATTTTTTTAATGTTGCCATGGGTTTGCTGATCATGAAAATGAGGTATTAACTGCACTGATTAGTGCAGGAAAAGGGCCCACAGAAACACTGACTTTTTATGCAGGCTTCCCTATGCAAGTAAGCACAACTGCTCATATTACTTAATCTCTCAAAGTATGGTTGGCTTTTTCCAAATCTGGTGATTTAGTGGTGTGTAAAAGTGTCTATAAAGATAGAGCTACCAAACCCACATTTATGAGAAAACCAGGGTTCAAAACTGGCCTCCAGTCCAGAAGAAAAAGTTAAGTTATATATTCAAAAAAACACTTATTCAAAATAAGCGCTAGGAAAAACTAGTGACAGGAACCACTGTTCAGAGCTCCTAGAAATATCCACAACAGCAGCTCCTCAGGGCAGCACCCAAAGTGCTCTTTACTCTCAAGATCTTTTGTGTTTGTAGCCCAGGGATTAATACACTTGCTGGATTTGGGAATCTGCCCGAGGAAATGTATCTGAGGGCAGAGCCCGCTGGGTGCTTCATGGGTCACAATGCCGATAATCCACTTGGCCCTTGGCAACATACCAGAGTAATTAAAAAAAAATTACTATCTCCAGAGAGTAGCAAATATGTACCAGAGGTATCCAGAATATATCAATAATTTGTAAAATTATAGCCCATTAAAGTATCTGCTGATGATACAAATTCATAAACATGTTGCTTATAAAAGCTTGCCCTTTTCTTGTCATGGTAAAATTGGGTGTTAACATTTTTATTTGTTAACCACTTATCTGAATGTTGGTTTCACATGGATGGAAATGAATAACCTAAATGTACTTAAAGCAAATTATTTGAATAGTTTGTCATTTTAAAATTATTTGTCTTCTTTAGATTTCACTTTGACCCTGTTGATCTAATAATTTACTACTTGTTACACTTAAATTACCAATCCCTTGTTCATGAAAATAACAGACTTGAGGGTTGCATTCTAAAATGACACCAATTTCCTGAGGGAATCCTCTCTCAGGATCTTTTAATTTTGCTGCAGCCTGCATTTCCCTTTCTAATAGTTTCCCTCTGTGCTTATGAAAAGTATCAAAAATGACCAACTGGATGTGTGTTCTGAAGAAGTATGTAGGTATAGAAGGAGGCCCTTGCCTTTTTGTTTTGTGAACTCAAATTAAGCTGATAAGTCACACTTCTAAATAACTTACAATTTGATTTTAAAAGGTTGCCTGCACATATATTTGCCCTTTTATAAAGAACAATCATACCCGTACCCCTATCCAAGCTGTTAACAATCTTATCTTAAAACACAACCCTTCATATTTTTAAAGTTGCATAAAAAACAAACTTTATATATATACACAATGAAAAGGCTTTGAGCTCTTGCTCCAAAAAGTGGATGACTGATAAATGAAGCTGAGGTCCTCAGTGCTTCTCTTTCAATAGTTTATACTAAATATATCTATATATAATTTTTATTGGAATATAATTTGTAAGCATAGCTGAATCTCTGTAGGATTTCCAGAATGCAAATCAGAAAGAAATGGAGGATGGAGGTTTCATTCAGATTTTTTCATTGAATTGAGCCACTAATCAATGTTTATTATGGGGCACTGAATCAGTTAAAAAACACAATTGGCATGATAAAAACCACACTAAAGAAAGTATATTTTATTTGAACAGTATCAAGAATGACCCTAAACTTAATGAAAACTCATATTAAAAGACTGTGGTTTGTTTGAAGGTATTTTGTCTGTGAATAAGACTGGTTTCAAGGGCAGAGAAACATGGTCTAAATGAGCCATCCAGAACTCATCATTCATCCAATTGAACACAAATTTCATGCTTACCCACTTTTTTTTTTTTTTTAATATAACAGGCTCAGTTTTCTCACATTGGTGCTTCTCTTCATGCCAGAACGGCTTATGTCTACAGAGTCCCTGAAGAAGCAAAAATCCTTTTTTTAGCATTGAACATAGCATATGGAGTTCTTCCTCAGCTCTTGGCTTATCGCTGTATCTACAAACCAGAGTTCTTCATAAAAACAAAGGCAGATGAAAAAGTGGAATAAAAATATCACTTGATGTTTTTCTTCTCTAGATTAGTGACTGCTATATTGGTACTGATATTTTGTTCCATTACTTTCTCATACATAATATGTAAGAAAACAAATTCTTGCTCTGTAGTTTACATGTGAGCTGTAATATGGTACTGTCACAAATTCTTGCTCTGTATTGTATGTATGAGCTATAATTATATGATATTGTGTGAGTAAATTTTTTTGAAGGAAAACTGAAGTTGTGGAGATACAGCTTGTTTAAACAAATTATCTGTTTAAACAAAAATTATCTGTGAATAAACCTGACCATCTAGCTCAATATTTTGTTTGCACATACTAAAATAAGTGTGAAAAATTACAATTCAGTGCCTATAATAGTAAGCATAAAAATGTAACTTCAGAGATGAATGTGGTCTATGCATATAAAAAAATTCAAAACAGCAATCACAGGTTGGAGAAATAACTTCTGCATTTAAGATGTATATGCTTTATTATCAACCTCAATATAAAATGCAGATTATCCGAATATTTTTAAATGTTTGAAAAATGTTTTTCAAGGAAAGTATATTACTTACTGCTATTTTAAAATTGCTTTTACTAAAACTTTTTGTGTGAATCTGAATAGCTAAAGTGAGACTGATTAACTTTATCTTTACCCTTAACGAACACTTGTCTTATTGGTGTCTGGAAATATTTCTATTGTATTTCTGTGTGTATTTTTAATAAAATTATTTTTGGTGTTTTATGAAGATAAATCTTGTTAAATTTGAGCCATTTTATATATACATATATATTTTCATGACAAGTTTTGGCTTTTTATTTTAGAATATCATTTATATGTTCCAATTGAAAATGTCATCTATCTGTGTTTTAGTGCAAGCATTCAAGAGATCTTTTGGTGAATTAATTAAATTTCATTAATTTTAAAATAAAATGTTCAAAATTAAAAGATAGCTCCTAAGGAAAAAGAACCAGATTGGCATCCCTATTTTTTATGAACTTTTCATATTTGGAATTGTGAGTACAATAGAAACAATTGATATTTTCTCAAACAGAAATAAACCCAAAACATAGCTGCCTCCTCAGTGTGCCTTGGGATTCAAAGTGAATTGGTGCTTTCATTATGGCCTCAGCTACCTCATGACCCCTATTATTTATTAATGGCCCTGGGATTTTAGGTTTCCTTATACTTTCTTTTCTCTTCATGTTCATTAGCTCTTCACCAAAATGAGAAAGCAAATGGGATACAGATCAACACATGGATAATGTCAAATGTGTGAATTTAGGGTTCACTGAGCTGGTAAATATTTTCTTAGGTGTACAAATCATGTTGTCACTCCCCCTACCTCCCAGTGTTTTCAAATTACCTAAGACCCAGAGAGTGTTTAAAAAAAAGAAAACCCTTGCCTACACTCTTGATTCTACTGTTAACCTGCTATTAACAATTTTTGCTTTAATAAATGAATTACATTACTACCTCACATTACATATATGAAGCCAAATGACACTACCTTAGTTGTTTACAACCTCAAAGCTTACTCCCAGTACACATTCCAATAAATTTATTCTGTAAAAACAATACATTTTTTTTTGTTTTTGATTTTTTCTTTTTTTACAGTAAACTCTTCAACTACAAACCTCGAATACGCAAAGATGTTCCAAGGACAAGCATAACAGGATTGATAAAACTCAAATTGACTAAATGTGTTTTCACAATATAAGCTGGCATAAAAATAAATAAAATTCTCTATTATCACAATAGCAACAATAATGTACACATAATAATGGTTTATGGGTGAATATTAACTATTCTAATTCTAGTTCCAAAAGAAAACAGTTCAATTTAAAAGTCTCTATTTAAAAGTCAATGCTTTGTCTGGTTTTCCACAGGGCTGCTGGTGATTCCAGCCTTAAAATGTAAAAGTATCCACCTTGAGTGATTAGCTCAAATTGTACTGGCATTGGGAAAAAATAAATCATTGCCTTTATTTTGGAGTAACACAAAAAGACTCACTAACTTCACATATAGAAACTCAATTTGTATACATAACAACATGAGTTTTGAGAAGTATAAGCTGTCAACTAGCTATTTCTAATACAGAATAGATATTGTACAATGTGGTTAAAACTTTACACAGGGCCTCAAAACTGAAGGACAATTTTAATTTCATCTTTGATATACCAACATTATATATCTAGGAATGTACTTCCTGGGTTCTGTCAAAAAGAGGAAATTCCATCCTTAAGCATTATGGAATGGTCATCTAAAATAATGCTAATTAATATGTAAGCAAATGTTTGGTGGTGGGGCGGGTAAAGGCAGGAAAATGATGAACATAACTGCCTTGGTAGAAGTATCCTAGACATGTAAAAGTCTGTGCAAAAATCTTGATAATTCTTAGTGGTTAAGGGCAACTTCATGCAACCAAATAACATGAAATTAAATCAATAACCTTTTAAAAAAGGTTAAAATGTCTCTTTTCCCAACAAAACAGAGAGGAATGTGAATAATGTACATACAAACTGGGGTTCTGTCAATGACAACAAGGACTATGTGTTGGTTCATATCAAATCCAAGAATATTAGACAACCAAACATTTAACCTTCTTGTGGTTTCTCTTAATATGCAGCATTCATTACGGTAGTTAGGTCTGTAAAAAAGAAAGAAAACAAGCCTTTAGATGATTTAGGATACTAATATTGAAAGCCATCCACACCCGTAGAGTATATAATTGGTTTTTCTGAGACTTTACTCTGCATTGTGGCACTAATACTCAGCAAGAATGGCTTCTGAGGTTTTGTTTTATACCTATCACAAAGCTGAAGGATATAATATTTTAGTGTTTCATTAAAAAAAGGCAAAAATGATAAACTTTTCCTACTGTCTACCCAGGCAGGAAGTGTAATAAAGGGTACTTTGTACCACTTGAAAAAATGATTATTGTTGGAATATATAAATAAAGTCAATGGAGAAACTCATGTTAATTTGTCTTAGTGAGGATCGTGGTGTCAGAAATAAAGGTAAGCTGCCTAAAATTTAAAAATCACTTGGAGTATACACAAATTAGTCTTTAAAACACAAATTAATTATTTGTGACACATAAGTACAAGAGTTAACAAAATCTAAATGTATAGTCTCTGACTTCCTGCATTTGGAAAAATGTATATATACATTTTTTGATACTGGGGATTGAACCCAGGGGCACTTTACCACCAAGCCAAATCTTCAGTTCTTTTTCACTTTGAGATAGGGTCTTGGTAGATTGTTCAGGCTGGCCTTTAACTTGTGATCTTCCTACCTTAGCCTCCTGAGTCACTGGGATTACAGGTATGTGCCACCTATGCTGGCCTAGATTTCTTTTAAAAATTTAGATGTCATATGTATGACAGAGATAAGATTAAAATCTTTCTATGTTGTGAAAGAATCATGTTTCAATTTGTTTCCATTTTAAATTGTGTTAGGTTATATTGCTTCCAAGAGATGTTGTTTTTGTTTTCCTCACCATTAACCCAAATATAGTATCTCCCACCCCAAGTAATATTTTCATGGGATGGATGTAAAGGGGAAATCAGGTACCACATATTTTTTTCTAAAAACAGCCTATTTTAGTTCTTCATTTCACTAAGGAAATGAACTTGTTTGTAAGCACAGATGGGCATGTTCTCAGTTAAAATAGCCAAAACCTATATTGCATGTCAGTAATTACAGGACCCTCAAAGGAGGATAAGTTACCAAACCTACACTTAAAATCTGTGGATTTGGAAAATACAGTGCCAAGTAAGTTAATTTATTACATAAAAACACTAGATATAAGATGATACAGATACTCTGGAGGATTCTCCTCTCTTGTGAAGGAGGAAGACACCCATTAGAACAATGAAAAATGTTGATCAACCACAGAAACCTTTAACAATTTTTTGTATTAATGTCAATGTGAAAGGCGATAAATTCTTTGTTTACATTGGTAGAAAATTCATAGTTAGCAATTGCTCAGCTCATATTGAAGAGTATTTTGGGACAGATCCTATAGCAGCCCATTTTTTTAAAAAAATTGAGGCCCCCAAATAAAGGTGGTACCAGCATGTGACTACACTTTAAGGACAAGCTTTTTTGTTTATAAAAAAGGCTCTGACAAGGAAGTGCTTGTAAAAGTAAATTCTGAAATCTGAGATGTTTTAACTTAACTTTCCATACCGTGATCATTCTATTCATATCTATGCCTTGAAAAATATATCTTGCTAATTCATAATGGTATATATTTTAAGACACGGTGCTCTCCGTGTTTGCCAGACCTACAGTCTCTGATATAGTCGCTCGAAATAATTGTTTATTCATGGGCTGCCATCTCTGTGCCATGAACCTCTTTGTGCCATGGACCTTGGGTAATGGCTGGAGAATCCAATCAGAGTCTTTTTTTGAGGTATCTCAATGGGATGTACACCGAGAGAGGTTGTAGGTTGGCAGCAAAGGTAAAAGGATACTCAGAGCATAATAAACAAGAAGCTAGAAGGCACTGTAAGTCATAAGGATTCCTTTTTTTCCACAAAGCACCATTTTTTTTGAGAGAGAGAGAGAGAGAGAGAGATGTTTTAGTTTTTTCAGCAGACACAACATCTTTGTTTGTATGTGGTGCTGAGGATTGAACCTGGGCCGCACGCATGCCAGGCGAGAGCGCTACTGCTTGAGCCACATCCCCAGCCCAAAGCACCATTTTTTTTTTTACATGAAAAAACTATTAATTAGGGCTGGGGATGTGGCTCAAGCGGTAGCGCGCTTGCCTGGCATGCACGGGGCGCTGGGTTCCATCCTCAGCACCACATAAAAATAAAAAAAAAAAAAGATGTGTGTCTGCCGAAAACTGAAAAATAAATATTAAAAAATTCTCTCTCTTAAAAAACAAACTGATAATTCAATATGGCTATGGGTATTTGGCACTTTGTAGAAATTACTTACTTAGAGGAAACGACTGAAAGTATTTGTTGCCAATAATAAAATGTGAGCATTTAGGTGAAAATAAGACTTTTGAATCCTCCAGGATTGACAGCTTCCCTACATTTAAAGGCTTTTTTGAAGAGGCAGTGAAATGTGATTAAAAATATAATGAAATGAGTCAATATTTGGAAGACCCAAATAACTCAGTCAATCAGTATTTTCCAAGCAGGTAAAAGCTAATAAAAGTGCCAGAGAGTCCAATGGACTTAATTTCAACTGAATATGAAAAGTTTAGATTCCACATTACAACTACCTTTTAAGAAATTATCACTTATACAATTGCTATAATGCCAAACAAGAATACCCACAATTATCTGACAAGATTATTAAAATACTTGTATTTTCACTTTTCAATTCCATATCTATGTGAAGCCTGATTTTCTTCAGATATACTTCACCCAAACTATGTATCACAAAAGACAGAATATAGAACCAGATAGGAAAATCTAGCTGTTTTTTTAATTAAAACTGACATTAAAGAGATTTTTTAAAAATGTAAAATGATATCCTTCATCATAAAACATTTTTTGAATAATAGAAGGTTTTTTTTTTTTGTTTTGTTTTGTTTTTTGGTACAGGGGATTAAACCTAGAGGCACTTTACCAGTGAGCTATATCCCCAGCCCATTTTATTTTCTATTTTGAGACAGGGTCTTACAAAGTTGCTTTTGGCCTCGCAAAATTGCTGAGGCTGGTCTTGAATTTGTGATCCTCCTGCCTCACCCTCCTGAGTCACTGGGATTATAGGTATACACCACTATACACGACTGCATCCAGCAAGTAATTGTTATTTTTAATAAAAATGTTATATGGGAAATAATGGGTATTATTTTAAAATGAATTAATAAGTATTTAAAAAATTTCTGATATTTCTAATTAAGTAAATATTAATAGATATAACACATATAAATAAAAACTATTTTGGGCCCTCAGTAACTTCTAAGAGTATTAAAGAGGTCCTAAGACCAAGAATAAATTAGAGTAAATGGTGAGAGATCAGACTGGAAGGATAACTTGGGATCAGATTGTGAAGGGCAATATATGCTAGAATAAGGAATTTATACTTGATCAATGTTGTAGAAATAACACAGCTTCAGGGGCAGAAGAATGAAAGCAAGTACACTGGTGAATAGTGTGGCTGTCCACTTAACATTTACTCCATCCTCTGCACCTCCCCTCAATTATATGGCAGCCTTGAGATTTCAGGACTTGGTTCCAACTCTCCAGGGGTGGAAAGAACCTGACCAATCTAAGCTAGTACTAATCCTCTTGTATCTATAGTTGGGTCAGAGATGGGCAGCCTTTTGACATGGTCTTCAATTGTCCCTGCCACCTGGTATTCATGCCCATTGTGTAATACCCTTGCATATGGGCTGAACCTAATGACTTGCTTCTAATGAATAGAATGGAGCAAACAAATTGATGAGATGTCACTTCCAAGACTGAATTTAAAAAACTCACTTTTGTTTTGGTAGTATTCACTTGCTAGCAAGAGATTCTTACTCTGAGGAAGCCAGTTGCCATGCTGCAAGTTGCCTCATGGAGAGATCCATGTGCAAAGGAATCAAGGGAGGCTTCTGGTCAACAGCTTGTGAGAAACTGGGGACCTCAGTCCAACAAATGTAAGGAACTGAATCTTGCCAGCAACTATTTGAATTTAAAAGAGGATCCATTCCCAGTTAAACCTTAGGATGACTGGACCCCTAATACCTGACTGAAACTCTGAGAGATACCCAAATAGAGAATTCAGCAAGTTGCACCTCCCTGGATTCCTAGTCCACAGAAGAGACAAGATAATAAATGCTGCTTTAAACCACTAGGTTTGGGGGTAATTTGTTAGGTGGCAATAGATAACTATTACAGCAGGTCTAAGCCAATCAGTGCTTGGTGTTCTCCTGGCCAGAGATCAGAAACCTCTACTTTCTATCCAAGTAAGTTAAGAAGGGAAGCACCAAAGTGTTCTGGATAAGGGAGTCTGCCCCTTTCTGACTCATGCTTCCACTGACAGGAGGGAGAAGGCAGTCAAGAGAACCTTTTGGGGTAAAGAGGTATCCCTTGTAAGAAATTCTTTTCTCTTACCCATACCAAAATTCATAACCACCAACAACCACCTGTCTTGAGGCCATCAGGATTTTCATCCTTATATGCCTTTCATCCTCGCTTACTTCAGTTCCCACAGATGGGCTCCAGAGCATCCATCACTTTCTGGGCTCTTATTCCTAGTCAGCTATGTATGTATCCTTTTATGTCTTCATCTCTTAGAGGTTCTCTCCCCCCCCCCAAAATTCCTCAGTTTCTTCCATGGCATCCCCCGGAAATCAGTAAACCACTAGAAAATCTGTATTTAACATAATTTTCCAAAATATTCCACTCATAAACTTATTCTGAGACCTTGTTTCCCCTAAAGGCAGTGCTATTTCTTTCCCTGCAAGCCTCTCAAATGGCAATTCTTTCCTTTCCCATACCTTTGTTACTTACTACTATCCCTGGAGATGGGGACAGTGTCGTTCTTGTTTATAAGCCATTCTTCCTCTTTTCTGTTCTCCCCTCCCCTGAAAAAAAAAATCCTCCCAGCTTTCATTCCCACTGAATGACTATAAGTAATTCCTTGATACATAACTACAGAGTCCCTGGATTATTCATCCTTCACCTTGAAGTTTTAGCTTCAGCCCACTGTCATTCAATGTCATAACTCCTATAATTTCAATGGCCATGTAGATAATTTTTCAACACTCTGGTCTCTTGATTTCTTGGTGTCCTCCCTTCAAAGATCTCATCTTCCACCCTACCTCAGTGACTTCCATGGTTATTTCTTAGAAAGTGATTTGCAGCCACTGGGAGTTTTTATAAATATTCTATTAAAGCACTGTTTCGTGAACAAGGTTATAGAGGGACATTTCATGTTGAACTTAGGGGTTCCTACTAGCAATCAATGGATAGGAGTCAAGACTATAGGGGCTCTATGGTGTGGTTAGTGCTCACATGATAGATTGTCCCACTCATAAAATATCAACAGCACCCACACCGTCACCAGAAACTATTACAACCCTTCTATAATTTGACTCAAACATTTTATTCTTCTATTACCACCTATATTTCCAGCTCACTCCCTCTATCTGGTATTCTAACTCTAATACTTTGATACAAAAAAAATTGTTGATCTTATCTCTTCTTTATGTCCATATTCCCCACTTAACATAGTTTGAATCCAATGATTATAATCAATCTCCCTTGTACACACCCTCAACTCCCTGGCCTCTAACCTCTTTAATCTCTTGGCAAATTCCAATTCTAGTTAAATTCAATTCTCTGTTCTGTGCATAACTGAATACACCTGGAGAAAAACACACAATTATAATCACTGCTCTCACTTTAAACTCATGATCACTAGCCTCCAGTGGGCCCTTACCTCTGTCTGTCAGAACTTCATTTCTCAAGTCCATTCACTCTCCTATTCTTCTAAGTGACTATTTTACACCTTTTCCTTTCTCTTGAATCTTTCAACACTTTTCCTTGTTCTCACTCTCAAGTGCTGACCTTGCTTCTTCAGAATATAGAAGCAATCACATCAGAACTTGAATGACCTCTCACCCTGAATATCTACTTACCTGCATCTGTACTCAAATTCTCTGCCTTTTCCTCTTGTTTCAATAGATGACCTATGGCAACCCCTCCCTATGTGCACTAGATCTTATGTCTTTTTGCCTTCTAAATAGAGGACACTGCATCAACAATTATTTCTTACATTAACATTTTGTGGTAATTCCTCACTTTGATCATTCTTCTGGCACAGGTGCTGTAAATTCTACATTAGAAAAAGGTCCCTCTTGACATCCCAGACCATGACTATTAAGTATTCAAAAAATATTTAGTATTAGGCTAATAGCCCTAATATTACTATATTAGGGCCTCTTACTATAATGAAGAGAGTAGGTATTGACCAAAAGAACAGAATAGAGGAGAGAGAGAGTCCCATGGCTATATGACAGATGACAATGTATAGATCACAGAGGGAAAAAAAAGGACCATCAATAAATGATGCTGGCTTAAATGGTTAACCATGTTTAAACAAGACAGAAAAATAGTACCCATTAAAGAAAAGTTTGATACAGCTGACTACAATAAAATTAAGAAAGTATGTTTTGTAAAAGATCATAAAGAAGTTGAATAGACAAGACACAAACTTGGAGAAGATATCTGCGAGGTATATGACAATTCATGTTAGAATCTAGAATATGCAAAGCTCTATAAATCAATAAGAAAAAAAATCTAATGGGAAAATGGGAAAAAAATTAAAAAATGAACACTGCATAGAGAGGAAACATTGTGAATCAATAAACATGAAAATAAGCACAATCCTATTACTAATCAGAAAACTACAAATCAACACTATAATGACCATTTTATACCCACAGTATTGGCAAAAACCAAAGTCTGACAATGCCAAGTTAATTATGGTGAACTCTTATACACTGCTGATGGGAGTACAAATTGGCCCAGGGAAGGTAATTTGGTATTATCTTGTAAAGTTAAAAAACCATAAAGTTAGTACTTTCAGTTCCAGTTACCCACTGTAAGGAAGCTCTTATACATGTTTACTAGGAGACAAAATAAAAATGCTTATAGCAACATAGTTCTTATCTGCAAAAACCTGGAAACAACCCAAATGCCCATCAACACCAGAGTGCATAAATAAACTGTGGTGTGCTAACAAAACTAAATCTTTTTTTTTAAAATATTTTTTAGTTGTACATGGACACAGTGTCTTTATTTTGTTTATTTACTTTTTTTAATGTGGTGCTGAGGATCGAACCCAGTGCCTCATATGTGGGAGGCAAGCGCTTTACTGCTGAGCCACACCCCAGCCACCACAAAACTAAATCTTATACAACAATGAAAACTGAATCACCTCCTGCCACATATAATAACATGAAGGAATCTTAAAAGCACAGTGGTAAGTGTCTTTATTTTTTAAAAGTTCAAAACCAAGCAAAATTAATTGATTTTTAAAAGAATATATTGTTAAATATGTATGTACATGGTAGGTATGGACTAAAATTAAAAATAAAAAATCAATACAGTAGTGTTCTTTCTGGACAAGAAGATGGGACTGGAAAGAACACTTAAATATATACAAATTAACTCTAATGTTCTAGTTTTTGGGTTGAGTGATATGGTCACTGATATTTATTATAAAAATATTATGTTTTGTAACATATGTAATATATACATATATACACATAGACACAAACACACATATTCTTTTATGTAACAGCTATATTATTAAAAATGAGTTAAAAATAAAATGTTCTTTGGTTCTTACTAGCTATGAGACCCTTGGCTGATTCTTTCAGCTTTAGTTTCTCCAGCTAAAAAATTCAAGACAATGCTTACACACCTACCTCCTGGGGTTTGTATGAGGAATAAATAAAATAATACAAGTATGGCAGTTGGCACAGCATGTAGCACATAGGCTGCTATTGCTGTCAAGTAGCAACTAGTATTTTCTGAGGTGCTTTCAAGATATTCAAGTAGAAACAGCAGTTAGAAAAATATATCTACAATGCAGGAGGTACAGAGCAGAAAGTTATCAATAACACAACAACTGAAATCATGTCAGTGGGTAAGATGAATATGGGAGATCTTCAGTATACAAGTATGCTAAGACAGACTGAAGCAAGGAGCTCTAGAAAGACACTGAGAAGGAAGAGGGAGAGAAAGCAGAAGAGATTGGTTAACTGGAGGAAAAGTTAGGAGTAGAAAGTACTTAATGATATTAAATGCTGCAGAAGTAAAAATGAAGATTAATTTAAAGGGCATACTAGATTTGGCAAAGAGAGAACCACGAGAGACCTTTCCAACAGCAGCTTCAACAAACTGGTTAAAGAAGAAACAAGAGCCAGGCATGGTGGCGCACATCTGTAATGTCAGCAACCCAAGTTTGATGACAGTCTCAGCAATTTAGTGAAACACTCTTAAAAATAAAAAATAATAAGGACTGGGTATGAAGCTCTGTGGTAAAGTACCCCTGTGTTCAATCTTAGTATCGGTAGAGAGAAAAAAAAAAGAAGAAGAAACAAGAGTGCAATAGGTTTTCATGAGTAGGAGGTCATGAAATGGAGACTGGGAGAAAAAGAGAACTGTTTTTAAGAAGTTTAGAGATGAAAAGAGTACAATATTTGGTTGGTAGGAGCTATCTTCAAGATTAAGGGAGACCTGAGACTGCTTATATGCAGTGGGGAAGGAGCCAACAGAAATGAAGATGAAAGTATATAGGAGAGAAAGGGGACAATTTAGTACCTTGGAGGAAGGAAGATATGATATTCTGGACCCTGGAAAGGTGTGGATTAATGTTTCTCAAACTTTAATGTGTATATGAATTACTTGGAAAAGCTTTAGTTTAAATGCAGATTTTAATTCAGAGTTTGGGAGAATCTACATTTCTAATAAGTTCCCAGGTGATGTTGATGCTAATTGTTCAGAGACCATACTCTGAATAGTAAGGGAATAGAACAACCTTTCCCCTTTCACAATAAGTCCATTAAGTTCATCAAACTCAGAAATAAGTTTGGAAGGAAAGTGGGAGAGAAACTGTGTGTTTTTGCTACATGCATATTGAAGCTACCTGGGATGAAAAGAGCAGGTAGGATAAAAAGAAAATCAAGTGAGCCAGATATTCAAATTCTCAGTGATTGTTGGCAGGTGCATGCATCTGGAAAGGATGCAGGCAAAGGTAATGATAGGACTATTTACTAGAGAGACATCAAGAGAAGGAAGGCAGATAGAAAACAGAGGAAGGCTGAGCTGGGTGAAAGGAATAAGAGAACAATTAGAACCACAATACTTTTGAGAATAACTGTAGAAAACTGGATTGAAGAAGGAAAGTTGAGAGGTGAACAGGATTGACATGAATAGGCAAGAATTCAGCTGAAACCAGAGGAGTAATATTTTCAGTGGGTTACTATTTTAAAATAATTTGATACTGTCCAACTAGTCTGCATAGAGAAAATGCTCATGGAAAATATGTAGGTGCAAACTCTGCTTTTATTACCAATTTTACAAATGTGCATTTGCTTGTGATGATGAAGTTAAATATCAACATTCAAATACTGCTTGAATATTTAAATATTTAGAGTCCCTACTGGTACATTCAATTACTTATTGCTTCTAGCAAAGCAGCAATAATATGTAATATACTATTCTGAACATGTCACTTTAAAAAGACTCTGGGGGAGAAAAAAAAGACTCTGAATTTTCTATGTTAGTTTGAAAAAGAATAAATCTGTAAGGAATTCCAAACTGACAGGCAGGTGTAATTCACACTCGACTCTCATTCGCAGACTCTAAGCATCCCATCATTTATTCAGGATTTGTGAAAGGATGTATGTAGCAAGCTGAGAATAGCTCTCCATTTCCTAACACAATGTCTACTAATGCTGAGATACTAATTCTGAAGCAAAATGTCTTCTCTGTTAAAAGAAGAAATTACGTGTGTATCCATCCTTACCCCTTCACTGGTTTTCTGCAAGTCTGAAGTTGTGTTTCTTGTGTCATTGCCGGCATCTCCACCCTCAGAGCTGCTTTTGTTTTCTTCTTCTTTGCAGTCTTTATCATCTTCATCTCCTGGAGATTTCCGGGATTGTTTAGAGGATTTCTAAATGTTTAGACAAGTTAAAAATTATAGTCAAAAGCAGAAATCCAAATGCACAAGTGTACATAAAAGACACAAAGATAGTGGTGTTGTATGAGCTACAATATGTAGGGTGCCCAGGCTTAATAATACTGGACAAGTCATTTTACCTCAATTAACTAGTTGGAAAGGGAAGTAGAGGTGAGCTAGGAGATCTTAGTTCTTTACACAAGTGTGATATTAAAAGCGGATTTGTGTACACACAACAGTCAATGAATAAATATTGCTGGGTGGACACTACTTTAGGACGGCTACAGAACCTAAAGGAACCCTAAAGGCAATCTAGTTCTGCTCATCACTTTACAGTAGTGAAAATGAGGTCCAGAGAAGTGAGTGAACTTTTCAAAATAATATATGGACATTCATGTTAGAATATTTGTACCAATGAGTGATAGAAACAAACTTTAATTTTTTAAACCATGGTTAGTTATTTAGGAACCCAAGGCTGTAATGGTGAATCAGTCCTTTTTACATGTCATCTTGCATTTAAAGTCAGGATAACTGTAGACAAAAATAAAAATATAAATACAGTTTATAGCAAGTTTCTTAGTAGGATAAAATGATAAAAAGCTGGCTTCAATTGTGTGCCTTATTTAAGACAGTAAAATGTAGCATTTTTCTAACACTTCTTCTTCAAGAGATTTTAAGAATTGTCAAGCCCATTGAAATAAGAGCTTAGCAAAACTGATTTAGCCAAATCACTTTTGGTCTTCCAGAAGTGAACTGGCAAACTGGAGCATCCTCACACAATCAATTTTTTTTTAAAAATTTTTTATTGTTGGCTGTTCAAAACATTACATAGTTCTTGATATATCATATTTCACAATTTGATTCAAGTGGGTTATGAGCTCCCATTTTTACCCCATATACAGATTGCAGAATCACATCAGTTACACATCCATTGATTTACATATTGCCATACTAGTGTCTGTTGTATTCTGCTGCCTTTCCTATCCTCTACTATCCCCCCTCCCACAATCAATTTTTTAAAAAGCAATTTCTAAAGAGAAAATGCTTTCTAGTTATGTGACAAAATATATAATCAAATTGCTTCTATTTTTCTAAATTGGAACTACCAACCAAATCCAAATGTCAGTTAAAATGTGGTCATTTTTATTTTTTTATTAAGGGAAGGAGATTTAATAATACAAATGTGGACTGTCTAGACTTAAGGATTAAGTATAAAAACAGTAAACATAAAACACTTTTTGCTTTAATAAATATAGTATTGTTGAAATATGGTAACTGCTTCATACAGTAATTCTCAAATAATAACCTGCAATGCTTACAGATAAAAATGTACAACTCCTTGAAATCTGCAATACTTGTAGAGGATATTTATGAGTAACCTTATAAGTGAGTCTACTAGATTTTTACTACTGAGTCACAATATTCAGAAATCTGTTCTAAGAAATCTGGCTGCCAAACCAGCAAAGCTCTTTGGATCCCCAGAATTCCTGAAAATTTGTTTTTTTAAATCAGTGTTTATCATGTGTTTTATCAATGTGGTCTCGAACTGATCTTTTGTCCAACCGCTGCTATCTTTACTTGTTAACTAAAATTATTGGTGCTTTAGTCTTCATTAGTTTAGTTGCAGTTGATAAGCCCTAATGTATTCAGTAAATCATTTATATGCAAAATGTTTTTGACCTATAATTTTGTTATGGCCCAAATATGAAGCATCCATATTCTTACTGATAAAGATATATATATATATATATATTATAACCCTCAAATCTATTACTTTTCATTATGATTACTGAGCTTCCCCCCAACCCCAAATGAAATTAGGTGAGGTAGAGATGTGGGCCCTTTCCCTATACCTAACTGGGATGTAATAAAAAAAGTTTTGAACTACTAGTTTTTAAAAAGGAACACTATAAAACATTAAGAGATAAATGTGTGGGGGGAAAACCCCCACCATATTAAGCAAAAAGAAAACCTTTGGGAAGCCAAAGAGAAAAATGGGATTATATTAGATAAATAGTTCTTTAAGTATGGCTCCTAGATTAGCAGCATCAGCCTCACATGGAAATTTGATTTCCAGTCCCTATCCTAGATTTCCGTAATAGAAATCTGGGATGTGTAAGATCTAATAATATCATTTTTAAAAGTCTTCCACGTGATTCTGATGTATGTGAAAATTTGAGAATCAAACCAAAAAGTAATAGTTCTGGGATGGAGATGCAGTTTAGTGGTAGACCACCTTCTTAACATGTGGAAGCCCTGGGTTAGATCCCCAGCACCACAAGGAAAAAAAAAAGTCATGGTTCTTAAGTGATCATGGAAATCATGTTCTTGAGGCAAAGCAAATTAAATGCTCCTTGAAAACAGGTAAGTCTTAGTAAGTAAAGTATGTATTTACCCCTACACTGTTTTAAACTGTAAATGTGTTCCAAGGATGAGCCCTTATATTACTTCTGGTCTTTGCAACAAGCAATTATGCAGTGGAATTTAAAAGCCACATATCCATAATGTTAAAAGTCTAGACAAACTTAGGTAACTAAGAGTTGTCACAATACATTACAAAGAGGCTCAGCAGTCAATCATAAATTAAATAAAATCAATTCAAGTAGGTGTTTTAAGTCCAAAATGCTGCATAGGTGCTGATAGGTGATTCTGCTAAGGCGCTCATGAGCCCAACGTGGGCTAGAACTTCGGGCTTTGGGTTTTGGGAGCCAGCCTCAAAAAAACAAATAAACAAACAAAAAAACAAAACTTGGGAATCAACTTAATGAAAGAGGTGAAAGATCTATACAATGAAAACTACAGAACCCTAAAGAAAGAAGTCAAAGAAGACCTTAGAAGATGGAAAGATCTACCTTGTTCTAATTCTATCAAAATGACCATACTACCAGATACAGATTTAATGAAATTAAACAATATACAGATTTAATGAAATTCCTATCAGAATACCAATGGCATTCCTTATAGAAATAGAAAAAGCAATCATGAAATTCATCTGGAAAAATAAGAGACCCAGAATAGCTAAAGCAATCGTTAGCAGGAAGAGTAAAGCAGGTGGTAACCCTATACCAGAACTTAAACTATACTACAGAGCAATAGTAACAAAACCGGCATGGTATTGGCACCAAAAAAGACTGCTAGACCAATGGTACAGAATAGAGGACACAGAGACTAACCCACAAAATTACAATTATCTGATATTACACAAAGGTGCCAAAAACATGCATTGGAGAAAAAATAGCTTCTTCAACAAATGGTACTGGGAAAACTGGAAATCCATAAGCAACAAAATGAAATTAAACCCCTATCTCTCACCATGCACAAAACTGAACTCAAAGTGGATCAAGGACCTAGGAATTAAACCAGAGAAACTGCGTCTAATAGAAGAAAAAGTAGGCCCTAATCTTCATCATGTGGGATTTAGGCCTCAACTTCCTTAATAAGACTCCTAATAGTGTAAGAATTTAAACCAAGAATCAATAAATGGGATGGATTCAAACTAAAAAGTTTCTTCTCAGCAAAACAACAACAACAAAAACAATCTGTGAGGTTAATAGAGAGCCTACATCTTGGGAGCAAATTTTTAACATTCACACATCAGATAGAGCACCAATCTCTAGAGTATATAAAGAACTCAAAAAGCTAATCAGCAAAAAACCAAATAAGCCAATCAATAAATGGACCAAGGACCTGAACAGACACTTCTCAGAAGAGGATATACAATCAATCAACAAATATATGAAAAAAGTTCATCATCTCTAGCAATTGGAGAAATGTAAATCAAAACTACTCTAAGATATCATCTCACTCCAGTCAGAATGGCAGCTACTATGAAGACAAATAATAAGTGTTGGCGAGTGTGGGGAAAAAGGTACACTTATACATTGCTGGTGGGACTACAAACTGGTGCAGCCAATATGGAAAGCAGTATGGAGATTCCTTGGAAAACTGGGAATGGAACCACCATTTGACCCAGCTATCCCTCTCCCCGGTCTATGCTCAAAAGACTTAAAAACAGCATTCTACAGGGACACAGCCATATCAATGATTATAGCAGCACAATTCATAAGAGCTAAACTGTGGAATTAACCTAGATGCCCTTCAGTAGATGGAAGGATAAAAAAATGTGGCATATATATGCAATGGAATATTACTCAGAAATAAAAGAGAATAAAATCATTGCATTTGCAGGTAAATGGATGGTGTTGGAGAAGATAATGCTATGTGAAGTTAGCCAATCCCCCAAAAACAAATGCTGAATGTTTTCTCTGATATAAGGAGGCTGATTCATAGTGGGGTAGGGAGGGGGAGAATGGGAGGAATAGATGAACTCTAGATAGGGCAGGGGAGTGGGAGGGGAATGGAGGGGGCAGGGGGTTAGCAAAGATGGTGTAATGTGATGGACATCATTATCTAAAGTATAGGTATGAAGACACAAATTGGTGTGACCATACTTTATATATAACCAGATATGAAAAATTGTGCTGTATAGGTGTAATAAGAAAATAAAAAGTCCAAAATGCTAAAAGAAATTCAGTTTAAAAATAACTGCAATGGAAGATATAGTCTGACAGGAACAGGGAAAATGCTAATTATTTTGTTGTCAGTTGCAAACATTACCCTCACTCAAAGCAACTGCATGTTTTTCACTAGGTTCACGGTAAGTAATGCTGAATTCACAAAATTTTACCTGTATGTCAATAGGGTAGATTTTAGGGACTGTCAAAATGAAATGTTAAGAGTCTGATTAACTCTTGGTACTTGTTTTTTCTTTTAATATTTTTAAAGTTATACATAAACACAACGTCTTTATTTTGTTTACTTATTTTTTTGTGGTGCTGAAGATTGAACCCTGTGCCTCATATGTGTGAGGCAAGTGCTCTCCCACTGAGCCACAACCCCAGCCCTCTTGATATTTGTTTTAAGGAGTTTCCTAAGTACAAGAATCTAAATGGAAGTAATTTTTCCAAGTATTTAGCTGTGTGACTAAAACCTGAACCAATCTTGGATCTTCAAGGATCCATTTATCTTGCTTTCAGTTTCTAAAATGTGTAGTTTTCACAGTTTTGGTTTTTTCAACTGCATTTCTGAATTACTGTGAAAAAACCTAGACTTTGAATTTGTAAATACATTATTATGCTACTGTTGTTTAAAATTTTCAATTATTATTATAATTGGAATAAAATCCATACTCCATAATATGGCTTACAAGTGGGCACTTTCCTATATAGTTATGATTCTCCAATAGCACTTGCCTTCTTTCAGTTTAGGAATACTGAATTCTTCCCTTCCTCAAAGTTTTGCTGCTCTGTTCCTTTCCCTCTGCCACATATGGCTCCTTTCTTCCTCCCATACCCTTCTTTTAGGTCTCAGCATAAACTTTACCTTTATAGAAGGACCTAAAGTAGATTTCCCTACTCTGTCACTCCTTGCAACCATTCATTTCTTTCATAACCTTTCACAGTTTATATTTACTATTAAGTTACATGAGGGCAGGGATGGAGTTGGATTTGCTCACCACTGTCCACTTAGTTCAGTGTCTGGAACAGACTAGGTGATCAGGAAATATAAGAACTGAATAAATAAAAAAGTCAAAGAATATTCTCTGAAACAGAAAGACAAATAAGAATATATCTTTATATTTACATATATAGTATTGAAACGTAATGTGTCTCTTATATTCTTAAATTGCTCAGATCTTGTTTCAAAGTCATTGTAGGAGGCATAGCTATTTATACACTATATCCTTAACTAAGGAACAGTTCTCCTCCAACTAAGGTGGTATTTTCAGGGCCAAGTGAGCCCTAAAGAGTCAATTGCCAGATTGCCTAACATCTAAAATTACCTGTCATAGTCCCTCTGCTCTATGTATATTGTCTCTAAAGGGAGAGGTTCCACAGAATCTAGAATATATATCTATGTGCCCAAGAAATGAATATAAAATAATCTAAAAACTTTTTAATGAATATATATGTAACAATAACAATGGGGAGTTTGTCAGTACCTTTGATGTGTATGACTTTTTCCGTTTTGAGCCTCCTTTTTCATTTTTTCTTTTGCCTTTTCCATCTTCTTCTACTCTATCACCTTCTTCCTCACTACTTGCATCTGCAGTGTTTCCTCCTTCTCCCTCAGTTTCTGAAGAGCTCTGTTGCTGAATTGCCTAAGGAAAAATATTAGCTAATTACATTTTTAAAAAATAGAAAGGAAGACAGACTGTGACAAAAATCACTCTATTTTAATCTGAAAGGGCTCAGTTTATTCATAAGATTTTCAAAAGAAAAGGCTATAAGAGCCAGGAGAATCTCTTGAACCCAGTAGTTGGAGGCCAGACTGGGCAACAAAGTGAGACCCTGCTTCCATCAAATAACCAATAAATGGCTGTCAAACTCAATTTTTCAGTAGTCCTCTGGATGAATTGTATTTAATCCAAAATACTACTAGAGCCAAAAAGAATTCTGACTTCAAATGGATGGGTAAATTAAAAAGATTTGAAAAGTATTAAAACCAAAGAAATGAGGTAAAGCAAGTGACAATTAAATAACCATTACCTGGTATCCAGTAAACTTGACTCCTGGGTTATTTTCTATTTCCCATAATCCTTCATTAAATCCTTTCCGTTTGTTTGACTTCCCAAACTTGTCTTTGTATTCCTTATATGGAAAAAGGTCTTTGGGACCTAGAAAAGCACTGCAGATACATATTAGAATCAACATGCTGACCTTCACATATAATATGTTAATTATCAACATAAACTCAGGTGTCAGAGCATATGATAGTAAACAAATTAACAGTCTATAGGAACTTTCAGTCAGGCACATATTACAAGATGTCTTAGACACATAGTTCAAAGTACAAAAAACGGATCTCTGACCATACAATTCAACAACCCTGGATTGTGCTACTTTGATTTTAATTTTAAATTACTAGTGTCTTCTTTGTTTTAACATTGATTTTCAGGTACACATCATCTCAAACTAAGATTTATTTGTGTGAATCTTATCACAGATATGGGTTTTGTGAAATTTACAATAAAAACATAAATACTGTAATTAAAAAATAGATCCATATTAGTAAATTTATTTACTAATATTTCTTTAAATTAAAAAAATCATATTTGTTTAATGAGGCACTAAGCAAGGAAAAAATCTGGAGTAGAAAAATAAATAATCTTACTCAGTTTAACCGTATCCAAAATTAACCATAACCATTAAAAAATGAGTTAGAGGGCTGGGGATGTGGCTCAAGCAGTAGCGCGCTTGCCTGGCATGCGTGCAGCCCGGGTTCGATCCTCAGTACCACATACAAACAAAGATGTTGTGTCCGCCGAAAACTAGAAAATAAATATTGAAAAATTCTCTCTCTCTCTCTTCTCCCTCTCTCTCTCACACTCTCTTTAAAAAAAAAATGAGTTAGAGTGGCTGGGGTTGTGGCTCAGCGGTAGAGCGCTTGTCTAGCATGTGTAAGGCCCTGTGTTACATCATTAGCAGCGCATAAAAAAAATAAAGGTATTGTGTCCATCTACAACTAAAAATATTTTTTAAAAATCTAAAAAAAGAACAAAAAACTCGAGTTAGAATAAATTCTGGGGCTAGCTAACAGATGTAAACATTCAAAACAGAGTCTTTAAAAAAAAAAACAACAACCCTTGGGAATCAATCTAACAAAAGAGGTAAAAGACCTCTACAAGGAAAACTATAGAACACTAAAAAAAGAAATTGAAGAAGTAGAAGTATGGAAAGATCTCCCATGTTCTTGGATAGGAAGAATTAATATTATCAAAATGGTCATACTGGGCTGGGGTTGTGGCTCAGTGGTAGAGCACTTGCCTTGCATGTATGAGGCACTGGGTTCAATTCTCAACACCACATATAAATAAATGAATAAAATAAAGGTCCATCAATAACTAAAAAAATAAAATAAAATAGATAGTCATACTACCAAAAGCATTATACAGATTTAATGCAATTCTAATTAAAATCCCAACAACATTCTTCATAGAAATAGAAAAAGCAATCATGAAATTAATTTGGAAAAATAAGAGATTCAGAATAGCCAAAGCAATCCTTAGCAAGAAGAGTGAAGTAGGAGGTATCACAATACCAGATCTTAAACTATACTATAGAGCTAGAGTAACAAGAATGGCATGCTATTGGCACCAAAACAAACATGTAGACCAATGGTACAGACTAGAAGACACAGAGACAAACCCACATAAATACAGTTATTTCATATTAGACAAAGGCACCAAAAACATACATTGGAGAAAAGATAGCCTCTTCAACAAATGGTGCTGGGAAAAATGGAAACCATATGCAGCAAAATGAAATTAAACCCCTATCCTTTACCCTGCACAAAACTCAACTCAAAGTGGATCAAGGACCTATAAATTAGACCAGAGACTCTGTGCCTAATAGAAGAAAAGTAGGCTCATATCTTCATCATGTCAGATTAGGTCCTGACTTCCTTAACCACACTCTTAAAACATAAGAAATAAAATCAAGAATCAATAAATGGGATGGATTCAAACTAAAAAGCTTCTTCTTAGCAAAGGAAACAATAATGTGAAGAGAGAGCCTACAGAGTGGGAGAAAACCTTTACCACATGCACATCAGATAGAGTACTAATCTCCAGGATATATAAAGAACTCAGAAACCATAATACCAAAAAAATAAATAACCCAATCAATAAATGGGCTAAGGAACTGAACAGACACTTCTCACAGAAGATATATAATCAATCAACAAATATATGAAAAATGTTCAACATTTCTAGTAATTAGAGAAATACAAATCAAAACTACCCTAAGATTTCATCTCACTCCATTCAGAATGGCAATTATCAAGAGTACAAGCAACAATATGTGTTAGTGAGGATTTGGGGAAAAAGGTGCACTCATACATTGCTAGTGGTACTGCAAATTGGTGTAACCACTCTGGAAAGCAGTATGAAGATTCCTTAGAAAACTTGGATGGAACCACCATTTGACCCAGCTATCCCACTCCCCGGTCTATACTCAAAGAACTTAAAATTATCATACTACAGTGGTGCAGCCACATTAATGTTTATAGCAGCTCAATTCACAATAGCTAAACTCGGGAACCAACCTAGATGCCCTTCAATAGATGACTGGATACAGAAACTGTGGTAGATATACACAATGGAATATTACTCAACAATAAAAGAGAATAAAATTATGGCATTGGCAGGTAAATGGATGGAGTTGGGGAATAAATACCATGCTAAGTGAAGTAAGCCAATCCCCAAAAACCAAAGGCTGCATGTTTTCTCTGAGAAGTGGATGCTGATCCATAATGGTGGGGGTGGGGCTTGAAAAGAATAGGGGAACTTTTGATTGAGAAGAAAGGAGTGAGGGGAGAGAAGGGGGCGGCTGGTAAAAAAGATGGTGGAATGAGATGGGTATCATTACCCCAGGTGCATGTATGATTGCACCAACGGTGTGACTGTACATTGTGTATAACCAGAGAAATAAAAATTTGTGCTCCATTTGTATACAATGAATCAAAATGCATTCTAGAAGAAGAAGGAGGAGGGGGAGGGGAGGGGGAGGGGGAGGGGGAGAAGGGGGAGGGGGAGAAGGAGGAGAAGGAGGAGAAGGAGAAGGAGGAGAAGGAGAAGGAGGAGAAGGGGAAGGGGAAGGGGAAGGGGAAGGAGAAGGAGAAGGAGAAGGAGAAGAAGAAGAAGAAGAAAGAAGAAGAAGAAGAAGAACAACAGAGTCTTTAGCATCAGTATCTATGACCTCACCTGATAAATGAGACTGTGGAGGCCCACATTTTGGTTGATGCACCTCAAACTAAGATTTATTTATTCATTCAACAAATATTAATTAAATATCTATAATGTGTAAGGCAGTATTCCAGAGGTGCTAGGGATTATACAGGGAACAAGAGAAAACATTTCTGGCCTCATGAAGCATATGTTCAAGTGGCAGAATAATAAAAGAAAAAATAAATAAAATATAGTCTATATGCTTAAAAAAAAAGGCAGAGAAGATGGACAAGAAGGCCTGGGGGTAATTTTCACAAATTTAGATATAAAGATCAGAGAAAGCCTTACCAAAAAGGAATATCTAAGTAAGGAACTATATGAGATGAAGGAAAACCAATGCAGTTACCTGGGAAAGAACAGAGAAAGCAGGTTGAAGCAAGAGCAAGTACAAAGGCTCAAAAGTGGAAGAAGGTTTAGTGTAGCTGAGAAACACAAGAGACTAAAGTGAAAAGAAACTAAAGTGAAATGAGTGACTAAAGACCAATGCGACGAGCTCAGAGAAGTAGGGACACAGAATATGTAGGGCCTTGGAGGTCCTTATAAATGCATTCAGTGAGATGGGAAGCTAAGCCATGAAAGGTTTCAATAAAAGAAGTGACTTTTCCCTCCCCTTTTTTCTTTTGCAGTCCCGAGGATGGAACCCCCAAAAGCTTTATCACTGAGCCTTTTAATTTTCTTATTGATTGTTGAGGTGGCCTTGAATTTGTGATCCTCCTGCCTGAGCCTCCCAAGTAGCTGGATTATATGTGTGTGCCACTGCATCTGGCCAATTTATATTTTAATGCCATCACTTTTTCTGCTGTGCTGGAAGCAGATGGAAAGGTTAAGTACTAGGGTGGAAATAGGGACACTAATTAGAAGGCTACTGAAATAAGTATGATGACTAGGACCAAGATGTAAATAGTATAATTGGTAAGAAGTTGCCAGATCCTGAATCTATTATCAAGAAAGATCCAGATAATTTGTTAATGAGCTGGATATGGCATGTGAGAGAAAGGACAGACTTGAGGATATTGCCAAAGTTTTTGAAACAACGAAATGAAAAGAATGGGGTCAACATTTATTAAAATGTAAATATTTCTTTGAAGGATAAGATTTGGGGATGAAAAGCTCAGTTGTGAATGTTGAGTTTGGTATCCTGGTTAGACATCCATGAAAAGATGTGATGTTAAATAGATATTTGGATGATTCTGGAGTTCAGGGGAAAATTCTGAGCTGGGGATAGTAATTTAGAAATTATCAGCAAAGAAATGACATTGAAAGCTTTCAGACAATAGGTTAACAGTTCATTCTTGAGTTTTGTAAATTTAATTTTCTGACTGGGTCTTAGAAATGATCTTTCACATTGTCATCTGATTAGAAAGTCGAGAAGGTGAAAGCTTTCTGACCCTAGGGCATAGTGCTCTTAAGAAGTGCTAAATCTTTTCCTGATTGTTCACCTTTAATTCCTCAGTCAGCATGATTCTGTATCATTGAACTCAGAGATAGTTTATATTGGGTATTTTAACTAAAAACATGTCAAAGTCATACTTGACAAACTAAACGTGAACACTAGAAAGAAGTGGACACTGAATATGACCACTTCACTTTCAGAGAAATTTGTCATGCATTATTACTCTGGCTTTTGACCTTTTCTAATCGTTGACTATGTATGGGGAATAACTGTGGATTAAGTTGTCTAATGTTCATACCAGCTATAGGTGCTAGCCAGAGCTTGTCTGTCCTTTAACAATGCCACAAGAGTCAAGGCTAATCTCTATTATTTTTTGATGTGTTAATTTCTGGCCTTCTTATTTTTACATTTTTTCCTTAATTCTACCTTTGTTTTTATGAGCTGCATGTCTTTCTGTTTAGAGAACAGAAAGCTTTCTCTTATGAATAAATAAGTTGTTATACTAATATTCCCCAGGAATGACTTTGACAACTGGCCATGTTACTTGTTGCCAGAAAGAGGAACACTGAATGAACTATTCTAAAACAAGTTCTTATTTTTGATACACGACTCTGTTTTTTCCTGGTTTATAGGTAATTTCACAAATCAACTCACCTATCAGTTGGTAAACTTTGTTATATGTATGTTTTATGAAGCTTACAGGGCAGGGCAGAAAACAAAATTGTTGAAAGCCGTGAGCTTTAAGGTTGAGGTTTTTTCTTGGCTAGGATCTTGAAAATCATCTAGACTGAAACTACTAGGGTTATGTTACATGGAGGAGAATTTGGATTTCCAATCACCTACCTGCTGGGCATTAGACCAGATTCAAAGCCATGTTTTGGGGAAAATTCTGGCCTGACCTGGGGGAACCCTTGGCTGAACTGAATACAGACTTTTGTTAAATTCCTCCTACTTCACATACTTCCCCCTCCTCATTTATTTCATTTAATTAATGTTAATTCATTCAATAGCTATTTTGTAGAATACCTACCACAGGCCACACAATGTGCTGAGTGAGCACTGTCATGTAGGGTAAGCAAACTGACATGATCTCTGCCTTTATAGAGAGGGTGAATATTAGTACCTACCAAGGCAAGTATAACCTCAGGCTCAGGGATACCCAATTCTTAGAAACAGTTCAACAGAAACAATGTTATGGCAAGTTTTTGGCAATTCATTCTCCTTCAGATATTTTAAAATCTACTTCTGGATGATCAAACCAGAAAAAAAAAATCACATGTGAATTATATTATACTGATCCTTGGTAGAACTTCTTTTACTGAAGTCAGTCTTAGAATGATGCCACTGAATTACATTAGAATACTACAAAACAGAGTGCTATACGATCCTTTACACTGTTCCCTAGAATAAGTCTGTTACATTCACGAATCACACGCCAGTTGGCAAGTTCAGCAGGGACAATTTTTATTTCCAGTGCTCCTTGAAAATAAATATTTACTAATGGAATAAAAGTAAACACACAATGTTTATAAATGATTGCTTTGGGTGTATACAATAGTAATGTGATAATTTTTTTTTTTTAAATCCTACCTGTCCCAGAAATACAACCATTACGTGGAGACAAGTTATCATAAAGAAAAAATTAAACCTTCACTTAAGAAACGTACATTATTAAGCCTGGTAACTTAAATAATTGATTACAATGACTTTAATAAAATATAAAATGTTATAGGTCACTTATAAACAAGGTAATCTAGCAGACCTAAATTAGAGCTACTGAAACTTTAAGTTATTCTGTTGACTTACGTTTCATGAGTGCCAAAAAAGAAGATAGGATACTTGTTTGCTGGAGGCTTCACAGCTCCCTCTGGGAGTTCATCAATCTATTAAAGATAAATTTAGTTATTAAATAGTTATCATAAACACAATATAAACATTTCTTTGATAATTTATTGCTAATTTTGAAATATAATTTATCAAAATCTCAAGTTTTTTTCTTAAGCTTTACAAAATGATTCTAAAGGTCATGGAAGTTAAAACAGTAAATTGATTATAGCCATTATGATAATTCATAGGCAGGAGCCAAAACTACTAAATTCCTTTGATCCAATAAAATTACTCCTGGGACTCTGTTCTAATGAAATAATCAAAAGTAACAACAAAGAAAAAAAAAGATGTACATATTTGAAGTCATAGTGAATATGTGTATATATTACATATACATGTTATGTGTGTATATATATGTATAACTTACATGTTGCAAGACAGGAGAATTGTAGAAAATTAAACTGATGAAATATTATGTAATCATTAGAAGACAACATTCTCTTGCCTAGACTACTAGCCTCTCTTCCCACCCCTTTAAGTTAGAATTAGCTTTTAAAATGCACATATGATGTTACTTCCTTGCTTCAAGTCTTTCTATTGCTTTTTATTGCTTATAACATTCCTAATTGTACATCTAAATTGCTTCTGGAGATTTTAAAAATAAGAAGTATGTTGGCCTTTCTCTAGACCTTGAGGCTGAGAACCCTGCATAGGATAAAGTCTAAACTCCTTAGAATATCATATAGTTACACATACATTATTACTTAAAATGTTTCAAAAAATAGTCTTTGACCAGTCTAAACTCAAATGGCTCTTTCTCCATGTCATGATTCAGCAATATGCAAATACATAGAACTGTTTATAAATATACAATTTCTTTCATAGCCTTCTCAGATAGTTGACCTTCTCATTTTTCAGACACACACACTGTTCATTTATAAAAATGAGTATTTATTTACAAAAAGAAAATAAGTTACAAGAAATAGCCAGCATGTTTCTTTTTAGACCTCTTTAAAAAGGTGAGGCCCCAGGAATGTTTTTCAGTTTTAATATGACTTCCCCTTTCCACCTTAAATACTACAACTACCACCATTCACAGAGGTCCTGACCATGAAATTCTGAATGTAGGAGCCATGTCTTATTAAAAATTCTATCCCTGGGCTGAGGATGTGACTCAAGGGGTAATGCGCTCGCCTGGCATGCGTGGGGTGCTGGGTTCAATCCTCAGCACCATATTAAAAAAAAAAATAAGAAATATGTTGTGTCCACCGAAAACTGAAAAATAAATATTAAAAAATTCTCACTCTCTCTCTTTAAAAAAAAAATTTCTATCCCTAATCCTAGTGACTCAGGAGGCTGAGGCAGGAGGATTACAAGTTTGAGGCAAATTAGTGAGGCCCTAAACAACTTGGACCCTATCTCAAAAAAATAAAAGGGCTCAGTGATAAAGTGCCTCTTGATTCAACCTCCAGTACCCAAAATACAACACAAAAAAGCTAACTCTCTACTTCTATAGTTTAGATATGGTTTAAATGTGTTCCTCAAAACTTATGCACTGGAAGCTTGGTCTGAAGAAGTAGCAGGATCTTTAAGGGTGGCGGGGGCTAGTGGGAGGTTGTTAGGTCATCAAAGGCATGCCCTTGGAAGGAACTAAGGTAGTTCTCATGGGGCTCATTAGTTCTTGAGAGATCAAATAGTTACATAAAAGCCAGAGCCTGAATTCCTCTCTGGTTCCATGTCTACCACGTAATCTCTTTTTATACATTCCCACCATTATGATACCATCTGCTATGATGAGACATAGCCAGAGCAGCCCTTGTGAGAACTGGAACCATGTTGTCTGGTCTCGAAAACTATGAGTTAAATAAACCTTCTTCCTTTACAAATTAGCCTCAGGTATTTCATTAGTCTTAGAAAACTGACTCATATACCTACAATCAAGCATAATTTCTGACACATAACATTGCTTTAAAAATTTCACTTATTTAAAAAAGTGATAGTATGGAAAAAGTTTTACGACACAATGTTAAAAAAATGAACATTTAATAATTTTATATACATATTTTTACAGGTAGAGACTGGACTGGAATATGAAAAATATAAACACAAGTGTGAGGTCAGGGTTATTAAGGTAGAACATTTTTCTCTCTTAAATTTCTTTTTTGTTGCCATAGTTATAATTTTGCAGGAAAACAAATTCTTTATATCAGAAGGTTACAATGACCATTCTGTCAATGCAAAATTTCTGGTATTTCTTTCCTGTTGTTAATTAATAATACACTTTAAAGATAAAGATAGATCATTTCAGTAATTAAGATTTTTGATTCAAAATATCTCTGATAATTTAAACTGTGAGCAGAATATCTGCTTCTGACTATGTTGTAACCAGTAACAAACTAGCAATCTCAGAACTAGTCAAAATATACTAATTGTTTTTGGGCTTTGGACAAGTGGCACAAGACTATAATTCCCAGGAAAAGATAAACTCCAAAGGGAAGACTCATAATTATCTCTATAATTATCCTTCTCCCCACAATAGCTTTTTAAAATTTATTTTTATGTGTTGCTGAGAATCAAACCCAGTGCCTCAAACATACTGGGCAAGCGCTCCACCACTGAGCCACAACCCCGGCCACCAGGGAACTAGATTCTAAGCAGAACTGATAAGAGCTGAGGAAGCAAAATCAGAGATTGGTGTAGCTGAACTGACTAGACTATACAGAATGGGCTCTGGAAAGGATGAAGTTGTGCAACTAGGCATCCCAGAAGTCTATGTGGAGAGTCCTTGTGAGTTTTTGACCAGAGACTGGGTAGATTTATGAAGACACATACCAAAGAATATTTGTCATGGAAATTATATTAGAGGTATTATAAATCAATTAGTTCAGAGGACTTTGAAAGTCCAGCTATAGTGTAGAAATCTTTTAATCACCTCTTTAAGACCTCAGGCATCTAGCTGAGACACAAGTTAAGTTTGCCCTAAGAGTAAGGTATATATGGAGACCTACTCCATAGCTGTCTTAACAGTTTAATATGAGGCCTTGATGAGAGAGGCTGAGTTCCAACAAGTTATCTGAGCTTGGGAAATACCTTGGGCTTTACACATATTCCTCTAAAGAAGTATAAAACCAATGAGAGAGGTAACTTGAATCATGGTCTTTGACTGCCTGTGGGTTGTGACTGTTTTGATCTGGGAACTTTCTGTGCACAGGTGCAGGACAAGATTTCCCAGTTGCTATGGTGATGTCCTGCCTGAGGAAGTTCTGTGCAAAGCACAGAACTATCAGTCTTGGCCCTGAGTTCAGACTCCAGCTGCCAGGGATAGAGAATTATGAGTGTAACTAGATAATTATAATTGTTTGCAAGTGCTTTGACCTCCAAGCCTGCCTGCTCTAAAGAAATTTTTCCACAGAAACCACTTTTGATGATAATGACCTATATAATAAACACGCGGAGCTAGCTCTGGGTCATATTCCTCCATCAGAATATGGTGTCCCACCTGGTCCCAACTTTCTCTAAGTGTTTGTCTTTTTTATTTTTTATTTTTAGTTGGACCCAATACCCTTATTTTATTTATTTATTTTTATGTGGTACTGAGGATTGAACCTAGGACCTTGCACGTGCTAGGCAAGTGCTCTACTGATGAGCTGTAACCTCAGCCCTAAGTGTTTGTCTTTCTTAATCTCCCATTGCCCCTCACCAGTCTAAGGTTTGGCTGCTCAGGTCATGGCAACCAAATTATCCAAATAATTGTTTGCAAATTACTACCCTGAAGAAAAGAGGAAAATACAACCTATAATTAAGAGAATAAGAAGTCTATAGAAACTGATTCCCAAGATGTTACAGATGTTTTAGGAGATGAAGACTTGAAAACAGATCTATGTGAACTTAATGAGTGGACATACAGGGAACCTGAGCAGAAAAATAAAAAGAAAAAGAACCACATGAAAAGTATAGAACTGAAAGTATAATAACTGAAATAAAAAATGCAGAGTGGGCTTGACAGCGGAAGAATGAGTTAGTGAATCTGAAGATAACAGAAATTATCCAATCTGAAGACCACAGAGTAAAAACATAAATAAAATTTAAAGAAAGCCTCAAGAACTTGTTGGACATTATCAAATAATCTAATGTACATATTATAGGAGTTCCAGAAAGGGAATACAATGAGGCACAAAACATCTGAATAAATAATGGCCAGAAATCCTCCAATTTTTTTTGGTGGGGGCGGGATACTGAGGATTGAACCCAGGGGTGCTTAACCACTGAGCCACATCCCCGGTCCTTTACATATTTTATTCAGAGACAGGGTCTCTCTGAATTGCTAAGTGCCTTGCTAAGTTGCTGAGCTGGCTTTGAACTCACAATCCTCCTGCCTCAGTCTCCCTAGCTACTGTGATTACAGGCATGTGCCACAACACCTGCTAGAAATCCTCCAATTTTGATGAAAAACATTGACTTACACACCAAAGAAAATTCAGCAAATTTCAAGCAGAATAACTGCCAAGAAAACCATAACTAGGTGCATCATAATCAACCTACTGAAAACCAGAAAAAATAGAATTGTGAAAGTGGCTAGGGTAAAAAAAGAAATCAAGAAAAAAAAAGCAATGTTGAAAAAATTTCCAGATTCTTTATCAGAAATAGAGGAGACTAAAAGGAAATGACTATTTAAATTGTTGAAAGAAGGGCTGGGATTGTGGCTCAGTGGTAGAGAACTTGCCTACCACGTGCAAGGTCCTGGGTTTGATCCTCAGCACCACATAAAAATAAATAAATAAAATAAAGATATTGTAAAAAAATAAAAAATAAATTATTGAAAGAAAAAAAAATTATCTCAACCCCGAACTCTGAACCAATTACCTACATTTAAAAAATGAATATGAGGTAATGGCATTTTCAGGTAAACAAAGGTTGAAAGAATTTGTGAGAAGTAGACCTAACACTCTTCAGGTTAAGGGGAAAAGATACTATATGGAAATTTTGATCTACAGGACATAAAGAGAGAATCAGTAATAATAACTAGGTAAATATCAACTATTAGGCTTGGTCTTCA